GAAATTGTGCAAACTCCAATTTGGAAAACTTTGGAAAAAAGTGCATGTGCAGCACACTGTTGATGTCAGAGACCTGTGATTGGATGATTGCAATGTTGGTCCAGGAACGCAGTGTGCGTTGCATGCATGATGTGATTTTGCCAAATGGGACATGCTCCTGGATCAACATCCCACACTGCTTACCTGGACCAACATTGTGATCAACCAATTACTGCCCTCTGACATCATCAGTGTGCTGCTCCTGTGCTTCTCTCAAAATTCCTTTGTACTTCTTCTGAGCTAGTTTTCCAAGTTTAAGTTGATACAATTGAACAAAATCCTCAGTAACACTGAACTAAAACCTTGTAAGCTAAATGTGTCCTTCACAGGTCTTTGCAACTAGAAAATGCTCTTATCCTCACTCTTAATATTAAGGAACAATATTTTAGCCTATTGGCAAGCTTACTTGTTAGCGTAGCCAACCTAGTTAGCAAGCTAACTCACTAACCGTGCAGTAGCCTACAAGGTTTTTGTTCAGCGTTACTGAGGATTTTTTTAATTGTACTAACAATTCTAACAATTTAGAAAACTAGCTTAGCTCTTAAGAAGCACGTAGGCATAAGGCTTGTTCGAGATGAACTGCGCCTCGCCTGGAAAGTGGACGAGAGCAGGCGGCCGCAGCGGGGGGCGGTGACAAAAAGCTGCAGTGAAGTCGGACAGTTTCCCGACAGTTTCCAGCAGCCTTCAGTCCATACAGGAAGTCACAGACACACTAACATCCTGTCTGGAATGATGTCAGTTCATTAAAAAAGTGATCAGACCCATATATCAGTTTGTTCTCAGTCTCCAGTTGTTTTAATTATGACAGATTAATCTATTAAAATGCTTTACAGGTGATCTGTAGTTTATGTTCATGGTTTATCCTCCATTTGATATGAATTCTCCTGCAAATCAGCATCATATCAGTTTGACCTGTCCCCTCAGCTACACAGGCTGAATAAACTGTGTTTGACTATAAGGTTCATATTTTCAGAGGAAAAAAAATACTAGACAACAGCTTTCATTAAGGCTCAGTCAGATGCAGTCAGGGCTTCACATCTGTAGCCTACATGTTATTTTAAGAATCCTCACATCCCACTGACCACAAGTCTCTGACCATCTGAACCAATCAGCTGTTAGATCAGGTGAGAGCCAGGCGGTGCAGTCGGTGGAGAGCAACTGCAGCGCCTGGCTCTAAAAACTGCAGCCGCCTCGCTTTCGTGGTTTTATCGCTGTCCACATTGGTAATACGTCAGAGCAAGTCGGGATGAAGTCTGACACAAAACTAACCGGCATGCATTGTGCTCCGATCACCGGTGATCGAATCTGTGCAGGCCTGGCTCATCTTGAACGAACCTATTTTTAAAGAAGTGCAGGGGCAGCACACTGATGATGTCAGAGGGCTGTGATTGGTTGATTGCAGTATTGGTCCAGGTGTGCAGTGTGGGATGTTGATCCAGGTGCATGCCCCACAAATTTGCATCTATTGTGCTTCTTTGCGTTGAATTTGTAATCTCACCACGCAAAACGCTCGCATCAAGTTCGGTGTGAACACACCAATGGGGATGGTGGAGGGAAGATGTTGTCACCAGGCTAGCTGTTTTCCCGTTTCCAGTCTTTACGCTAAGCTAAGCTAAGCTAAGCTAAACATCACCTGGCTGTAGCTTCATATCTTTCATACAGACTTGAGAGTGGTATCCAATTTTTGATCTTGCCAAGAAAGAAAATAGGTTTATTTCCCAAGGTGTCAAATCATTCCTTTAAACAAGCTAACATTTTGTGTAGGACACATTAAATGAGTACTTTTGTGGAACATTTTTTCACACTTGATTTCTGTAAGTCCTTTTTTTTTAACATGTAACCTCAGTGCCCATCTACAGAGTTATGGGCCTGAGTCAATGTGAATCGGTCTACATTGCTTTTAAAATAGTTCTACTATTTGACACCACCGCTCGTCTCCACACCAATTTATGGATAATACAGTTGCAGTCAGAATCTGCGGGCATATCTTGTCCACATTTGCATATTTTTTTGGCGTTGTGTGCTACAGTTTAACTCGGAGGAGAAGTGTTTCTATATCCGTGCTGTTCTTTATGTTCCATTGTTTTATGAGGGGAGAGAGAGCAGTCACAATTTTGTTTGCCTTTGGTGGAGAAATGTCTTGTGTCGTGGCTGTGGGTAGAAATAACAGAAGGCCTCTTATGGGTTTTGCAATGTGACATGAGAAAAATTTGATAGCATAAAAAGGTTTGTGGTTAGCTTAAAACTATTTTGAATTGTTAGATATATCAATAATGAGGATAAATATAATGCCAAATATTCAGTATTTGTACAGAAATATACATATATAAATATATAATATATGCCTAATTTAAATGGAACTATTTTCCGCTCTTGACCATGTTTTCGTTGTTTACCGTTCCTTTGTCGACATTATTTTATAAGATCTTCAGATAGCATGCAGGATAGTGAAACTGAATGTATTATTTAGTGTTTCATTGCTGTTCAGTATTACAGCATTCTACAGATCAGTTTGTGTTTGTAAGATTAATTTAAGATGACTATTTCATTTCTAGATTTGTCTACCTATAAAATGAATTGTAAACTTTCTTTTCTAAATGCAAGGTTTTGAAATGGTTTCAACAATTTATATCATTTTATTATTTTTCCTGCTTTATCAACGTGGCTCAGTATGTTTTGCCTCTTCTAAGTACTGCTATCAACCATCTGTTGTAAATAATTATGCAAATTAAACTTTTTGAAGAAAACAGCATGGTTGTGAGAGAGCGCATTCATTTCGTCTCCATGAGTACCGGGAGTTTTTGGAGAAGTATCAGCGATACAGCTGTACCATCAAGTAGACCGGTCATGTGGGATTTTAGCTCAAAGGCAGGGTTATTTATAGAGAGTTACTAAAACCCAGATAAAGTGTTGTTTCTCCTCTGGAGTAATGCTCTGCAGGTTTATATAACCATAAATGGGAAGATGCTTGCTGAGGGGTAATCTGAGTTAAGTGTCTTAACAATACTGGCTTTCAGTTACAACTGGGATGATTTGAATAAATTAAGTGACTTAATTAGTTAGTGACGGAACAGTTATGAAGAACTACTGTATATGGCGTCTCTCTGGTCTGCCTGGTGCTCCTGTTGTGGACCATTGGCACAGCAGACATGTTGGCCTGTCATGGCAGGTGTGACTGATAACATGTAAAATGACTGCAGCCCATTCAGGTGAGATGGTTACAGGATCCTTGTATTGTGCAATTGTGTATCACAATTTAAATGAATGAATCTGAACATTTTTCAAGCCCCTAAAGTCAGAAACAGGAAGCCAGATTTTGTCCAAACTTTAAACAAAATGAAAAAATGATTTCCTGTTTCCTCGTCTACATCCTGTCTGTCTTGGGGCAATAGTTGAACAACTGCTGTCTCTTCATAGACCTTACATTTGCGCCCCACTACAGCCCAGCTGCAATTTCACTTTATGCTCTCTTTGCTCCCATAGTGTGTCCTTTACATGTGACTTAAGTTTTATACCTTTCAACCCCACGTGCAGATTTCTCTTCACTGAGCAAGATTGAGAATGTTGTGACCAAAAGACTCGATCAAGTAAGTAGTAAGCAAACTAAACACAGCACATGAGGAGCCCCTCTGTGAGGAGTCTGAAGTGGATCCTCGTATAGTGCTTCAGCAGCATTGGGACCAGGTGTGTCTCAGCTGTACTGATGAAACAGCCCTGCCCAGCAGTCACTTCTCATGGCAGCTAAAATATTGACTCGGCATCAGGAGCAGAACTTTGATTTCAAAATACAACCATGTTTTTTTTTTATAATTTAGACATGTCTCCTTCATGACATGGACAGTTGCAACAAATGTTTATAAAGCAAAACACAGTGAAAAGTGATAAATTATTATAAAACAAGAGTCCTGGAGATTTTTAATATGAAGTTGTCATATGCAGAAAAACAAAGTTTGTGCAAAAACTATAAAGGTGGTGCAATAAAGCAGACGTGTAAGGTGAGGAATAAAATGTTTTCTTCACAAATGATGTAAAATTAGCTCTTTAAAAATATCTTTTGTACCTTTGGAGACCTTTCCATTATAGAGCTCAAGATCTTAAAAATGTATCTCCTCATGAAATGTTTACATTAGAAGCTTAAGTCTCCACTATAACAGACGAGTTACCACTGAAAGATTTTACACAGGTTTGGATATTCTATTTAGTTTTTAAGTTATTTTTACTTACATTCTCCCCATTCATTCTCTATGTAATTTGCTACTTATTATTATTATTATTGTTATTATTATTATATGCAAACACCACTCATACTTCCATACCTTCAGAATTACACACACTAGTGCAGTTTCTCCTGTTTTCTTTCCTTTTTTTTAACATTATCTTTTTAATGTAATGCCAGTTTTTGGGCTCTAAAGAGTTGAGGGGTTCAGTGCTGCCTTCTGAAAAAAGTGCAGGCGACATGTCCACTGCGGCCCCTCCCTCCATAGCACAGCAGGAAAAGCACAGGTGAGATTAGTAACATAAATCACGTAGCTGCATGTGTGATTAGTTTTGCCGGTTTCAGAGCACTCCTGTCACCTCACCTCATCCATAATTATTCCTGCTACAAGTCAAAATGTCCGCTGTGAAAAAGTTTGATTAGAACAAGAAAACTCAAACAGAGAACACTCTTACTGCTACTAAACAGATGGAGCTTAAATCCAGTGTCACAGTGACTAACGTCATCTTACCTTTAACTCTCTCGCGGGTGATTTTAATTCCTCAGGTCCTCACTGTGTGCACATCCACCGAGGGCTAATCAGCATGAGTGAAAACACCTCTGTGGGCGGACCACAGGTGTGCTGAATATCATCTGGTCGTGGGATCAGAGCAACTTCCACGGTTATAATGATTTCTCATCCACAGCAGCATCTGTTTTTGCACATCTTTAAAATATAAGCTAACATAACAACACTCCACGCAGGTTTTAATTAAAGAAGTGGTCTTTATTACAGCAAAGAAGCCAAACATTACAGACAAGAATAATTATGAACCATGAATATCAATTCTATACTCAGACTGGCCTCTCGTCCAGACGCCTGCTTCACTCACCACTCCTCAGGGCCTGCACTTCAGATTTATTAAGGAGGAATTTGGGCATCGTAACAGGATTAGCTCCTTAGTTTTCCCTTTAAGTGTGATGTTAAAACGACTGACCTACTGTTCAAACATTCGTCAATCATTCCTCTCTCTGCATGCTATAGAGATGGCCATCGGTTTCATCCCACTGGCTGTGTAACGTAGTGTTATGGCCTCTGGGTTTTCTCCTATTTCTTTGGGTCAGACCAAAAATCTGCAGAAATAAACTGAAAATCGATGGTCCACCGGGAGAATAAAGTTCTGTATATTCAGCGGACACTATAATGCTTTTTTTTTAAACAATATCTGTCAAAATTTGAAGCTGAGTCCTCCAGGAGTACAATCTCTGACTTTATATCTACAACAGAACAAATGTTCTGACATTGCATCCATCGTCTCTACTGTTCGCCCAACAGTAGAGCCTCTTAGAGTTCCTCATGAGAGCCTATTTACAATAACATCCTTTAACAGTAGAGCCGGGCTACTCTCGTCCCAACCGAGTGGAACCTCTGACGTTATATTTACAATAATTTTTTTTCTGAATCAGTTTGTGCACAACAGAAACACGTCCGGTAAAGCCTCACAAAGAATTCATGAAGCACTCTGGTTAATAAAACACGCTGAGTCATGGTCCGAAAAGGTGTTCAAAACACTGATCGTCCATGAGAACGCATTCAACAAAGCCCTGGTAGCGATCTAAGATGCTGTCAAAATGCTTGTATCCACGAGGAAATTCAAATGATTAGGCACAATAAATGTTTTTTTTGTTGTTGTTTTCACAGTCCTGCATGTTTCACTCACTAAGCCTGTTTGCATCACTGAGTCTGTGTGTATTCAGGGATAATGGTGAGCAGGATATGAAGATGAAGATAAACAGCTTATCCCGACTAAGACCTTAAGAGGGATAGGAGCTATTATCCAAAATACTCTGTGCATATAAATGCACTCATGTTCTACTGACCACAAACAGAGCGATGGGCTTTTACACAAAGAAACCACGGTAACATCACAGAGAGTTTCATTAAGTGAAAACAAGACAATACTACTGAGTTCCACCTAAATACTGAAAAACTACTTCTAATGCTTTAATATACAGCGTGGATCAGGGCTTCTTAAACTCTTCTTCACGGGCCCAAATTGAGCAGACGACGCCTCTCACCTCGGGACCCATTATGGGCTCATTAAATCACACTAACACTCTCAATGCTCCGGAGGAAACAGACTCGCAGCCCATTCTGCGCCCCCCCGACCCGCAGTTTAAGAAGCGCTGGCTGGTAGAGTAAACATGGAATGAAGAATGATTGTTCTTACAAGCAATGCAAGTAAACAAACAATAAATACAAACAATGTGCTTTATCCATATAGACATATTTACACAAAGTCTTTGGCTTATGAAGAAACATCAGCTACAAAATCATAATAAAAAGTGTTGGCCGCCAGTGCACGAGACGAACCAGGCCTGGGGTCAGGTCACTTCCAATTCCATTCAAACCAGAAATGGAAAACTGTGAGCGGTTATTGTCAGTCTTCTCTACGAGTAAATACGCCGAAATCTGTTGGAGTTTGGACATAAATGATCCCATTTGTGAGTTGGCTGAATTGAAAGTGCATTGGGCCCAGCCCTGAAACAAACATGATTATGTTAATGTCACACAGGTGAACAAAGTCTTAAAGAGCAGCTAAACCCCAGAGTGTTGGCTGAAATTTATGAAAATGCCTCCCGAACGTGACAAAGTGGGGGGCTGGGAGAGGCAGCCAGGACACGCTCAGTCGATAGCAGAATTAATTTGGACCTGAATCCATCAACAACACTACGAAAAAACCCATGTACGTTGGGTCTCAGCTGAAAAAGGTGGTTTAGGGGTTTAGTTACTTTTTAAAGTGTTTTAATTTCTCTGATTTGGGTTACAAAGAAGACTTCAAACTTCTGTCCTGCTGATCAGTGGTTCCCAGCTGGTGAGTTGCGGGCCCATTTTAAATGGACCGCATGTGTCTCATGACCATGTCAATTTTGTAAGTACAGTAAACTTCCAGCACAGAGCTTTTATTTTGAAATGCCGTTTCCTGCTGTAGAGTGAGTGACTCAACAGAGGCAGCAAACTAGCCCAACGTCAGGCCAAAGCCAAGTCTGACGCTGAATGTGGGACCTCAAGCTACTGACCAAGGAGAAATCTGGACCAGTTGGGAACCACTGCCGTAGAAAACAAACAATGATACATATCACACTTTTTGGAACGTATACGTCTAAGTGAAAATCCTACACTTAACATTTTTCAAGTTGCCACTTCATGATTTCAAAAATAAAAAACTAAAAGCCTAGTACTCCCCGTGTAAACTCGCTGCTTTTGTCTCATTGTCAGTCTCCTTTCTAAGATTCTACTTCATCTAATTAGCAAACGTACACTGACAGTTAGGGTGTTTTCTATGTCTATTGTGTGTAACCAATGAGAAACGGGTTCAGAGTGGCCTGTTTAGTACTTAAATACATAATAATGTTCTGACTGGAATGAGCAGAAACATAAGATGGAGATGCTGCTGATGCATTGAGTAAAAAAACAGAAGCATTCACAGAGTTTGGCCGGGCTGTAACTTGAAGTTTGTCTGCTGCAGATATTCAAACATCACCGTGATGAGATGCCCAACGCTATAAAGTAACTCAGGAATCAGCATGAGAGCAGGAATGTGGGGCCACTTGAGACTTGCAGTTCTTCAGAAGCTGTGGCTGCAGCTTGCCAGGTGGGAGGGAGACATCTACAGTGCACATGGAGTACTGCAGCTGAAACAGCATGAGGCATCAAGTCCATGTGTGAGGAGGCGTAACATTTAAACGGGGCCCGGCACATACAGGGGCCCCGCTGGCACTCAAAAAGCTGTACAATAAGCGTAAAGGAGTAAAAGGAGTAACACCTCCCCCTCTGTTGCACTCCCAGCATCTCCTTCTGGTTAAAGTCTGAATGTTTCCCTTTGTCATGATACTTTACAACACGGTACAAGGAGCCGGTTTCGCTTGTGCCATTTGTAGGGACGCAAAATGGGTGCTACAGAACGGCCACCACAGAGGGGAGTCGGGACCAAGCGAAAGCGAAGGATCAAACACGCGGGAAGTGAAAAGATGTTCTGCTCTTCTTCACCTCCTCCTCCTCCTCTTCTCTCCTTTGTTTAGGAGGACTCGATGAACTCCAGTGCCAGGTCGTAGCAGAAGCGATACTGTTCCTGTGGACAGACACAGACAGATGTACTGAGGTTAATGTCTGGGTGGTAACATGTTTGTTTTTTGGGATTTTGGCTGCAGCGCCAACAGTGCACATAAAATGGCCGCCGCTCTGACAATCCCACCACAGTTGGCTGATTTGAATGTGAATCTGAGTTCTACTCTTCTTCTATTTCTATGATCTAACTCTCATTATGATTCAGTGACTCAGTGCCATATTAAATATGCCCTCAGTGCTGATGTGAGTGGGCATGTTTGCTCAAAAGATGCTCTGTGCTTTGTCTCATAGTGACGCCTCACATTTAAATAATAGCCACCGACTCGGAACATATGATGAGACATACGGGTTTGAGCTGCCTGTGGGCAAAAAGAACATGAGAGACTCTGTTCTTGATTAAAAGCTGTTTGACAGCATGTGAAATTACTTTACTTCAACTAACTGTTGTCTCTCATCTCTGTTCTGTGTGTATATCTCACTCACTGGAGTTGCAGTGCTGGAATGCACAGATCTGATTGGCTGAGTAGCGTTACGTGAGATGATTTAACACATGCAACTGATCGGATTCTGTGTGAACTCTGTTTATAAACCCAAACCAAACATTCATGCTCTCCTCCTCTTCTCGTCTATCTTTCTCTCCAACTCACCGGAGTATCCACCATGTTGGGTTTGCTGTTCCTCAAGGTCTTCACAGCGTGGAAGACATCTACCACACTCTGTCTCTTGGCCATCTCACACACAATGCTGCTGGCACATAGAACTCCACAGCGCCCACCTCCGTTTCTGTAAACACACACAGACAATAGTACAGAAGTGTGTCACGACAAAGTTGTGTCTCTCTCACAGTGTTCACGGCACTGATTTGATGACACATCATCCTGTCATTGTCAGTGACTGTTTCATCAGACAAAAAGGCATGCTGGTGACAGAGAAGCTTCGCTGTGAGTGAGTTTCATGAGTCACTGACACATTCTATAATAATCACCAACTGGTGCCATGATAACTGGTATCAACCAGTCCTTACTAGATCAGATGTTTAAGGCAGATACGGTAAGATTTTGTGGATTATTTTCATCTTCACCTGAACAAATTAACAGATAAATTTTCACTTGTGTTGTTGCTTTTCATTGTCACTTGCTATAATAAAAGATGTGTAGGTATGTTTGGTGTGAACTCACAGGCAGTGCACAATGGTTCTTCCCTCTCCCTCCTCTCCCTCACGCTGCCACTGGTCCACCTGCAGGATCAGTTTGAGGAAGGAGCGTTTGGAGGCAGGCACTTCTCTGTGTCCCGCCCACCCCAGGTACTGGAACTGACGAACCATCAGGTAACCTTCCTGAGGCTGGAACATCAGATAACACACACAGTTAGAGGAATGGTTTTTGATTGCCCAGCAGACCCAGGCTTTAAGAAAATCACATGCACATAATACAATATGAATGCACTAACCCTGGTGAGGTTGCAGACTCTGAAGAGTCTACTGATGACATCACAGTCCATTGAGCAGGACATACATTCCACCTGGACCGGACCGTAACGCAGCATGCCCTCCTCTGGCCAGTACTGAGGACAACCCTGCACAGAGACAGTGACAGCATTTAGATACAGTATACGCACAGAACAACACTTTAACAAATTTGAGGCCTTGACGAGCAAAGCACAGTCTTCTACCCTTGTACACAGTAGCATTCTGTTCATACTGTGTGTGCTGACTTTGCTGTGAAGATGATGTCGAGGCTGGACCGACAGTTCAAGTCAATATTAGCCTTTTAATACAAATCTGCAGCAACTGGGAGGCAGGTTGGTCTTCAGCATAGTTTGTTTTACTTACTTTACTGCATTTAATGCAGGAGATATTTTAGATGCTAGTGCCTGTGTACAGTAAACATATGTTTACAGGACAATAAAGTTAATCATTATTCAGAAAACATCTGACAAGGACTATAATTTGCAAAGACTCTAAACACTTCATTGATTTATTTGAAATTTGTTTATGTTTTTTTCTTGTTAGTAAACCTTCTTAGTCTGGAACTCTTGTTCAGTTATGCAATCTTAATTTTTATCCTTTTCTTCTTATGTATGATTGTTGTTATTTAATAGCGGAGGTATCTTCGTGAGCCATTTTTGGATTCTAACCTCTCCTGCACAATGTTTTAACTTATAATTACCTTTTCCTGTATTTTCTATACATGTATGTGCAAATAACTAAACTTTAACTCAAGTTTATACTACTATATTTATTGGTTATTTGGTGAAAGCTTCATATCTCTAAAATACAGTATTATCCTCTCAGGAACTAAGAAAAACAGCAACAGAGCTTTGACATAATGAAATCATTAAAGGAATACTATGCAGGATTTTCCTAAAAGAATTGAGTATAGATTCAAGAAGCAATAACTCTCAATTCATCACTTATGACCCACTAGAAGTGTGTGGCAGTGTATTTATCTGCAGAGACTCGGCCTGTATTTTATTAATTTCTTTTTATTTTCGTTGTGTTCGGACGTTCCTGTACCCAAGTGATGTCGGGACTTATGTAAGGGATAATGTATAATGAGCCGGTGAATAGGCGGAGGGGTTCTATTCCCCTGAAGGGAGTTGTTTTCACAGTATTCACTGGCTCATTATACATTATCCCGCTTATTACACGGCTAATTATCAGTTAAATAAATAAATTGAGACAGAATATTGATTAATTATACAATTTTTATTGATTTATAAATTAAATCGGGAGGAGAGAAAAAAAAAAAAACTGCCGGCAACGGCTGAATCTGTGCTACAATAGCTATAGGGAATCAAGAGAAAATGAAAAGCAGCGTCCCTAGCAACGCTGGGCTACATAGCAACGGTCATTACACAGTAATATCAGACCTCCGAATGCCGCGACTGACCAATCAGAATACAGCATTTAATAGAGCCGTGTAATAAAAAAAAGGTAGTGACCAGGTGGTAGACCATACGCAGAAAGAGGACGCTACGATAACTGAAGACAAAGTGCTGAACCCTCCCCCTGCAAATATAGCTAGGCCAGGGGGCGGCAACCTTTACTATCAAAAGAGTCATTTTTGACCAAAAATAATTTTTTAAAGATCTCTGGAGCCGCAAAACATATTAAGCCTCATAATGAAGGTAACACAGCCTGTTAAATCTAAATTAACCTCTCAACATTTCAAATAGGTGTAAATGAGCATTCATTAATATGTTTTACCACCAGGTGGCACTGCAGTGAGCTTTGCAGAGTTGACAGCGTAAGTAAGTTACATTTTTTGTCAAAGCTGAAGGGAACCACTGGAGAGGGACAAAAGACAAATGTGGTTCCAGAGCCGCAGGTTGCCTACCCCTGAGCTATGCAAAACTTTAGCGCACAAAGCTAAATCCAAAACCAGAGCGAGTTGGAGTTGGTTGTGTTTACAAACAGACCATTCCTGTGTAGTGTACCTTGAAGTTATGACACTAAGACAACGGAAAGGTGAATTACCTGAGCCAGGTCAATTTCATTCAGCATCACCAAGCTGGTACATCCATAGTCGTAAACCAGACGCCAGAAGTCTTTGACAGTGTTAGGCAAAGGATGCTGGGTAACGATGAACGCAGCAGGCTGTCTGTAGCTCTGCAGGAAACAGACAACAGAAATAATGTCAGAGCGTTACATGCACACAGTGGTGTCAGTCAGTCCACAGAGTTTTGCTTTTCATACACATCCCTCACATCTTTATCCTTGTTTTTTAATGACATCTCTCTCAGACATACTGTACACACATCAACACAGAAGGAGCAGAGTGGGACGATTTGTGGGTCAGCAAGCAACACAGGTGATGTCTGATCACATGATCATGCAGTGGGCCTATCAGATGTGAGGATGAGGAGCATGCGTTGCATATACAAACACACTGTACATCTACATCTATATCTGACAGGGTCAGTTCACATCATGTTCAGTTAAAGTTCACCTTAAAAATGCCTCTAATGATAAATTTGTCGGTCACAAAATGGAGGAGAAAATCGACCTTGAGTCTTCTATTGATTTTATGAACTGACTGAACTGACAGTGAACTGAGCCCGACTCATCCTGAATGAGAATGTACAGCCAGATGTGTGACATGGGTGTGAATGACTTTGGCGTCTTGTCATCATGAGGGGAATCTAATGTGAGGGGTCGGGGGAAGGTTTAGGGTTTAGGGCGTAAATGGCGTTTCTAAATATGAACCTGGTGGCAGAACGACACTGAAGCCATGAAACAAATCCAGTATTGGAAATTTGAAGTAAAATACCATTACCTGGAACTCCCCTGAGAGCTTGGTTAGAGAGAGGCCAAAAGGTAAGTGACTTAACTTTGAATGTAAACTTTAAAAATTGGAAAGTTTTACAGCAATTACAGTATTTTTTTGTCCTCCAACAGCTTTGTTGGAGAGAAGCCAGGTTTCTGTCCACACCATGCACTTATTACATTTTGTGATTCAACCATGATTGTAACCTCACATACTCTATCTACAGCCCACCCTTTACTGTCTGTCCTTCTAACGTACAAAACACACCTGCTGATCAACACTACATTATAATTGTGTCAGACAGTGACCAGATCTCGCCATCTTACCTTAAATTTGAACCTACTTAATGACTTTGCTTTGAAGTCATGGTACATGGGCAACATGTTGTCAACTGTTGCCAATGTAAGCAATGTCCTGCAACAATGAGGCTGTTACAGGTTGGCTGTTGGTCAGAGAAGCTAGTGGTCTTTTCAGAACCTGGATTTGTCTCTAGCCTTCTGCTGCTAAAACCACAAACACAGCATCACACAAACAGGGAGGGGACTCTGTGTGTGTGTGTGTGTGTGTGTGTGTGTGTGTGTGTGTGTGTGTGTGTTGTCTGTATTAACATATGTGCATACATATCTAAATGTGCATGTGTTTGTCTTTATCATCAAGTGTGTATCATTTTCAACAGTTGTGTGACCGCAGTTTGGGACGACAGGCGTCACACGTCGTTTTTATTTTTACTTTTTCACACTGCATACATTCAAGACTCAAAGACTGCTTCCACATCGAAGAAGAACACACACAGTGTGAAATGTCCCAAACCACTCTTGCTTGATGTGTTGAAAATAACACAGCTTTACTGTGTGTGCACGTGAGTGTGATATACACTTACATCCATCAGAGCAGCGTTGATGTAGTTGCTGCTTTCTCCGTCTATTGTGATGAGGAAGGGAAGGCATCTGTCAGGAGGAAGGCCGTCCATAAAGCGGTTCTTATCTTGGTTCCTAGGCAACAATGCAATGCTGCAGTCTTCAGGCTGAGGCTGAGGAGTCACCGAGTTTAACGTCTGGACAAAGAGAGAGATGTATACTGTGTAAGTTAGGCCATAAGCAGACTATTCAAAGTCCCCCAAATTCCCTTCTGTGCAAAGTTGAAGGGAGACAGCACCTAAACTAAGAATTCCAAAATGTTATTTCCTCGGCCTCAGAAAGTTTAATCAATATTTGAGAACATGATCTACCCTCTCTAACCACAGAATGTTTGTTTTCTTTTTTATACCCCAATGAGCTTTATTCTCTTGTAGTGTTCTCAGTTCTGACACAGAAAATGTTCACATATACGCAGAACATTTCCCTTGCTGCTCTCAGTGTCATCTATAACAGTGGTTCCCAACTGGTTTCAGCATAGTACTTGTGTTTGGCCATGTTGTTGAGCAAGTCTCTGTTAAGTAGCTGTCTGGTAGTGACTCACTCTACAGCAGGAAATGGCACTTCAAAATAAAAGCTCTGTGCCGTGAATTCATTGTACTCTTAAATAAAGTGAGTCTTTTACAAACTTGACACGTTTGTGAGTCACTTATGGTCCATTCAGAATGGACCCGGGTCCCACTTTTGGACCACGACCCACCAGTTAGGAACCACTGATCTGTAATATCTTTTATCAGTCATTGTCTATGAAGCAGCTCCAGACTTTATACCCTATGACATCACAAGTTTAAGTTTTACTGTCCATGTTTACTAATATTTTTGGACTGTCTTAGACCATGGTAATAGCGTATGAATTTGAAAAATGGGCATAGTTTCCCTTTAAGATTCAAAGCTGAATCCCATTTAGATAGCAACAGATTCTAAAATCATATTTGAACTAGAATAACCTCCTTGCAATTGTATGCTTATATCAGTCAAGTTGCAGCTACAGTTTACATCCTGTCAACTGTCAAGACTCATACGTAGCCATGGCAGGTGACACTGCTTCAAATATGGATGTCGCCAACAAAGAAGCTACAAGTTCTAAAGCATGGATGCTTCACACACATCTTTAATCCAGCAGCAGAGAAGATCTATATAATCTGCATAGTTTCAAGATGGACACCCAAGATTAAAGTCACCGGTTCAGTATCTGACCAAATGTCTCTCCTTCTGTTCCTGAGATATGATGTTGAATAATGGCCAGAGAAGTGTTTGTGCAGATTATTATGATGTCACAGTGAAGGTGACCTTTGACCTTTTGAAAATATAGAAGTCATTATTTCATAATTTTATCCCTTTAGACATTTGTGTGAAATGTTGTCATATAGTCATAGTGACCTTGACCTTTGACCATAAAAATCGAATCCATTCATCATTGAGTTGAGGTGGATGTTTGTGCCAAATCTGAAGAAATTTCCTCAATGTGTTCTTGTGATATTGCATTTACGAGACGAGAATGAGACGGACAACCAACCCAAAAACATACTGCCTCCTGGCCACGGCTGTCACCGGCGCCACGGCATAAAAACAGGTTTAAATAAAAAATGTTGTGTTGGTAGTACATTAAAGGCATCCTGTGGAGATTCTGACTGCTCGTAATGCTGTGAAACAATGTTTTTACAAGTGGGCCCCAGTTGTATTTGAATCTTGGCTGCATGTGTGACAGATATATGTTCCTGCTGTTCTTAAAGCTACTCTACTAATGATATTTGGTGGCGGTAGCACACCAAGATATATAGATATGCACCAGTAAAGCCACAGAAGAGGAAGACTGTTACCTGACTGTTAGCAGGAAAATAATGCAGGATTTTAAATACCTAAGAAACTGGCTCTACGAATGTTTTATGGAAAGAAAAATAGCTTCAATGTGTTCGTAAGGGCTCACAGACACACACAATGCATTTAGATATAATTGCAAAATACCAAACAGCTGAGAAGTGGATTATCCTGTCTTGAGACAATCATATTGACATCTCAATATTTGTTTTGTGCTGTAAAAACTCAGCGTCTAATGTATTTTAAGAAAGACTTTAGAGTGTCACTTAAAGGTATGAAGATGTAGATTACAGAGAGCTTTACCTGGAACTCGTCCTTCAGATGTGACGAGTTGGTCTGCGAGTCAATGCGGATCAGCTCATAAAAAGCAGCTTTGAACTCGCAGACTGGTATGGCTGTTTCTCCACATAGACAAGCCTCTAGAATTGCATCATGGATGAATATGTACTGCTCCTGAAGACATATAATTCAAGACATGCACATTATTATATACATTCACATCCTTCACTCTCAGATAAAAACATTGGAGAACAATAAAACACACACACACAACGTGTCCCGTTGATAACACAAGCAGCTGTGATGCCAAATGAAAGTGAGACGCATGCAGACATGGTGAGCGAGTGAGTGAGTGATGACTGATGGGAGATGGAGCTGTGAATGAGACGAGATGACGACTGTCAAGTTTGGGTTTATTTCACTTGTGAGTCAGTCCACACAGGAAATTGTATTTTTGGATCTTTCAAGCAAATTACTGCAGCTTCACTTCACAGGACAGACAGAGAGTGAAGTGAAGGCTGCCTCAGTGACTGTTCTTTGTTACGATGGATGACATAAACTGTTTTTGCTACTCTGCTACTAGTCTGACTCACAGGATGTCGACTGTGTGTGTGAGGCTGCATTTGGCTGCCAATTTCGGACGGAAGTCTACTCCCATTCCACTATCTGTGTGTGTTAACATGTTCAAAATCCATGTAGCTACATGAAATTAGTCTTGCATATGTGGCATTTTTTTGCATGGATTTAACCATTTTAATGCCAGCACTCGCATCACCATGTGCAAATGCAAAAGCTAGGCAAGTCCCCATCCTAACAATATTTTGCAAGAGCACAGTTGCTGCTTCCTGAGCTAAACGCTGTCTAAGACCATTGTGAGTGGTTTGAGGAAATACAAACAACTTTTAGAGTGGAATTAAGATGGGTTCGACCAGACTTTTCTCCAGCACAGGCACAGCGCTAAAATAAAGTGTGGGAACAAGTCTGGCTCTGCGAGACTACTGGGGCTGGTTATGTGATACTTTTAAGGTATCAACCAAAATAACACAGTACATTCAATACATTTTGTACCCAGATCTAGGAAAAAATATTATCTGTATGCTTTTGCTCACAGCCAATCACTGCAAGCGTTCTTACATTTAATGTGCAGTGCAATTAGCCCACTACTGCAGCAGCTACAACTCATAGTGTGTGGTGTGGTGAAGTCAAGCATGGCGTATTTGATAGACAGTGACGGGCAATGTTACTTTTGAAATATCATAGGTTACAGATTACAAGTTATCCTGGTAAAAATGTAATATATAAAGTAACTTTTTAATAACTTGTACGTTATTTCATTTGATTAATTTTCTAACAAATGTTTTAAATTTGGCAATAAAGCTGAAAAATGTCTGGAAACAGGCTGCACCAAAGGAAGATGTTCTTACATGGTTAAAAGATCCAAAGCAACAGAATGAATATTTAATTCTACAAAAGAACTTTCACCAGAAAGAATTTGATGTGATCCCTCTGTAATCACCAACATTTTGATTAGTAACTTTAATTTAATTACACACTTTTTTTCTCACTAACTGTAACTCATTACAGTAACATTTATTTTGTACTTAAATTACTATCAGTAGTTACATGTAACTAGTTACTCCCCAACACTGCTGATGGAGTCGGCAGTTGAGTGTGCTGAGATGCCATCAAAACATTTGGCTATACGACACACCTATGGCATCTCATGACACTTTATGTTCCTGAATGCTTCCATTCACATAATAGGTGTTGAATAAAGTAGGAAAAAAAAGGTATCAAATGAAGCACTCTGTTGGTATTGGTATCACTTTAAGGTTACTGGTATTGTCACTGGTATCGTCATTGTTTTAAATGATACCCAGCCCTTGAGACTACACTGCTACAGACTAATATTTAGTACATTTTACAGTGTGCTGTCTTTATAGAAAACAGTGTTAGTAATTTCATGATTGAGATAAAAGATAAGATAAAAAACATGAGTTGGGATGTTTAGAGGGGTAACTTTGTCTTAAATGTGTCTGATTGTTAATACCGCACATTTAATTGTTTACTGAGGATCACCTCAGCTCTGCTAAAACAGTGTGGGATGAAGGTGCTTCATTCAGGGTGCCACATGCATTGCTGTCTGCCACAGTGTAATTCCTCATCCCACCACTGGATGATGCCAAAGTAGGATACTATCAAAATCCTTAAAGGCATCTTAAAATAAGATGAACTTCACTTCATTAAACTGTCTGTTTTCTGTGTTCATGTGATGAGATGACATGTTGATGAATGAGAGGCAGGTAGATGTGTTCACTTCAGCCTGCACCATGCTGTAGGCTGAGTCTTACAGGGAGGGTTTCATTGAGTATATTCTAAGATGTGGATGCAGATGGAGGATGGGTAATGCAGTCACCTCAGTCTGTACCATGTTGATCCTCCTAGAGCGAAGAGCTTTCACACAGTTGTAGATGTCGACCACTCCTTCTCTCTCAGCCATGTCCAGCATGATGTCAATGACTATGAAACAGCCTGTGCGCCCTGCTCCGGCACTGCAGAGAGAAACAGAGAGGAAGTCACTCTTCATGTCTATGATCCAGAGAGGAAGGCAAAGAGATGCTTGGCAGATTTTATGTATGTATTTTTCAGATGTTAGGGTGTAGATTAATCATGTGTTAGAGAATGTAGACATTTCTATACCTGCAGTGGACCACAATCGGCCCAGCAGAGGGTGGATTGGAGATCTTGACTCTGCGGATGAAGGAAAGTAGTCCCGTAGCGTGATATGGAACTCCGTGATCAGGCCAGCCTGTGAAGTGAAACTGCTTGACTTCCCGCACCTCGTTGAAACCACGCTGAGTAAAGACAAGAGGCATCTTAAGGTTACATTTCATCGTACCTGCCATTATGTATGTTCCCTCTTTGAACGGGTCAAACCAAGTGACAAATGAATTAGTGAGGAATTCGCCAATTATTTTAGGTACAAGCATTATAAATTTAAAGTATTGTTCAATACTGTTAATGATGCTGAACACAAACAAACCACACAGAGTTAAAACGACTCACCCTCTCCAGTGTAAATGTGCGAACCACGTATTCAGCAAGAGGTTCAACCTCCACAAATGTCACCTTGAAGTCTCCGTACACCTCTGCGTCATCCGGCCAATACTTGTAGCACTTGACCTGTTAAAAAAACCACATTGAAGATTTAATCAAATACAAGATAATAATTATAATGCAACATGTTCAAAGATGTGGGTCAAGAGGCAGATGCAGCATCTCATGTAATAAGAACATATGATAATGCCCTGAATATTGCAGACTTCACAAATTAAACAGTAGGACAGCAGACATGGGCCGCTAATTTCTCTGCACTGCTCAGCTAATATGCATTTTATTCCATTAGCACAAGTTCAAGTGACATCAACACTATCAAAACATAAAACTTCGAAGAATATCTTTCTGGCTTACATGCTGAAGCTGCTCCCAAGTGGTACTTGACATCTAATTCATTATTTCTGACTTGTAATTTATTTTATCCAGCTATCCAGTTGTCAAAGAGACTGAATAATCTTTCCAGAGGAAAATTTTGCTGCTCACAATCAATAGTCTTTTCTTTGTCTCATCAGAAATAAATCAGCTTCTCATTTGGGGATTATTACATTTGGATCTATTTCACCTGAAACCCCCCGTAGGAGAAATAAAGAGCAAAATAATAAGCAGTTATTTTGCTGTGCTCAGAGGCTTCTCACAAGTTTCTCAACTCTGAGAACAGACAAAACACACAGAGTTGAGACTTGAGTTTGTTGACTGAGACAAATTTCTGAAATTGTGGAGGCTCATTTACGAGCCAATCAAGTATTCTTTTAGATCCTACTGTTATCTCAAGAGCTGATTGTTTCAGACAAATAAAGATTACTGTAGTGAGTGAGAAAAAGAGAATTAAAATATTTTAAATTAGGATCAGGCTGAGACAAGAGAGAGGATATTTCTCAGGAGCTGAATTTAAGAAGTTTGACAAAATGATGTTATATCTAGCTCAGTTATGTCTAAAAGAAATACCCTCGACAAAGAAGAGATCTTATTGTGACTGTTTCTTGTCCTCTGTGTTTGCAATACAAAACACGACCATGTGCACCAGTAAAAACATCTTGCACAGTTGAGCCGCCCAACAGAGTACAGATGTGAGGAAAAGAGCAACTTACCCTTCCAACCTCCACCAGGTTGGTTACCATGACAATGCAGGCTGACTGTTCCTGCCACACCATCCTCCAGAAGTCATACACGGTCTCATGAACAGGACCTACGCACAGACACACATTCAGTACTTTGTGTTGTTACAATGTTAAGGGAAAATGGTCTTACAGTGGAAACTGCTTAAAGAGATCACGGTTACATGGGTCAACCACTTAAAGCTTGGGATAGAATCACTCGTAAACAAATTCTTTTCAAATCATGCAGTTATAGTTATCAAATAATCTGCTTATAGTGTTAATTTTGGGTCTTTCTATACATGGCAGCATATAAAAAACAACTTAAAACTATGGCGATGCTATTTTTATGCTTTTTGACGAGGGAACCAGTGCGATGCTAATTTATGCGTAGACGTACAGAAAAACGTCATTCCTGCAGCACTCTACAAAAACATGTCAAATAGATGGTAATCTTCAGGAAAAATTATAATAAAGTCCTGCTTATGGATTTGACGTGGACAGACGTGATCACTAAGAGGTGTCCGCTCTATCTGCAGTTATGAAGGATTTGTATTCTTAGGTGCACGTTGCAGTATCTTACCCTGAGTAGCGATGTAGTGACTTGGTCTCTGGTAGCCCTGAAAACAAAACATCACAACAACACAACTCAATACGTATAAAAACTGTATGCATCAAAATGTTGAAAACGTCTTATCATAGTTGAGACGTCCGCAGTGCAACTTTACAAATGTCAAAACTAATCTTTGGGTTTGTTTTCACTTGAGACAACAGAAACATTACAGAGCAGTTTTTAGTAAAGCTAACAGGAACATTTTGACAATATAATGAATGTGTTTGTCATTTCTGGGCTACATGTTGAGTTGCACTGCATATTATTTTTATTCAGGTATTAGACAAGTTGGTCGTCGTCTGTGGGATTTTACTCTCAATACTCGTACCTAACATTTCTAAACTATCAAAACAAAGCTGCAAAATTCAGCCCAAAGTAAGGCCCTGCCAAAATCTACAGATGGCTCTGCATTGAGCAGGTGAAACGCTATGACAACCAGTGACTGGGATTTCCTGATGGCAATAAGACAAAAACAGGTGCTATGCATAAGCATCTTTACAGCACACAGTGGGATGTAAGGAAGACTGGCGGGAGGGCAGGATGGAGTCAAAGTGCAGCGGAGGCCCCAGCAACTCAGAATGTACGGACAACGTGACTCGATGCATGTCATGACGAGTGTATGACTGGACGTTTAGGGTGTAAAAGGTCGAGGGGCATGAATGAAAGAATCCACAGTGATACTTACATCCCTGTACAGCCAAATCTATAGCCCAAGCCACAGGCAGAAAGAACGAGCGGAAGAAAGAAAGAAAGAAAGAAAGAAAGAAAGCACAACAATGTCAGTGAGTGTCAATCAGAAAAAGAAAAGTTGCATTGACATAATGGGAGTTTGAACAGGACATGCAGAAAAAAACATGATCTAAAACTTAGAATTAGGCTGAATAGAAAGGACACTTCCTGATGTCATTTGACCCCCTCACACTGAGATCTGGAGCCCAGAGAAAGCTGTCTTATTTTTGACGCCAATCCAATGTAAACGACAGCCATCTAATCATAGCTGTACCAACAGAGATGAGCTAGATACACCAGGGAGTGTCCACTCTATTCAATCTAATTCTAGCTTAATGTGGGTGGTAGCATGCATGTAATAGTTTTAATGGAGGCTAATGATAATATAGAAGAGCATGCTAAAAGCAGTATTAGCATTTAAAAAGTACAACGTGAGAGACTAACATGCAAATGATTGGTGTAAAGGTGGCAGCAGAGTGGAGATGTGGAGATGGACAAAAGATGAATGGATGGATGGATGGATGGATGGATGAATAGATTTAGATGGAGGTATGGAGTGACAGGTGAATGGACAGACAGGACGACAGATCAAATGGATAGAAATAGATGGATGGACCTAAAGTGTAAAAACTCTTATACTCTCTTGTATAAAAAACAGAGTCTACATTTAGGAGGGAAAAAAATAGAGCTCTGTAGAGGCTTTAAGTTGATGCTCTCTGAGTTTCATCCGTGGATGGACCAGTTAAGACTTGAATGGACTGAGGGCCAAATACAATGACTTAAAGGACCACGTCACCAACAAAATGATCTTTTGTATATCAATTACTCGCTACATGTTACCTGAAATTGGTGAAGAAAACTTGTATGTTTCCAAGGTGAACGAAGAATCCAAAAACTGAGAAAATTCTTGATGAATGAAGTGATAGGGATTTACGTTTAACAGCAAAACTATATCAAAACACCAGTTTACAAACTCTCACACAACTTGTGCAGTATAAGCCAAGTCTCATTTGTTAGTCTCAGGCATGGACGAGTGGCATGACTGCGCTGTTTATGTGGAAGTGTTTTACATAGTAAGGTTTAGTGAAAATGCATGTGTTTGGGAAGTACTGAGCATACGACTGTATAAATGAGACTTGGATTATACTGCAGAAGATGTGTCAGAGTGTTTTCTGTTGTTGAACGCGATCCTCTTTTACTCCAGTTCATCAAGATTTGTCTCAGTTTTTGGATTCTTCGTTCACTGGAGGCACGCCAGGAATAGGCCTACAGTTTTCTTCAGAAATTCAACTTTACCTTGAGAGAGTAATTAATCTACAAATGGACATTTTTTAGGCAAATTATTCTTTTAAACAAAATACTATTATCTAATATCTTACCAAGAGTTCAACAAGAAGACTGGTGCCACTATTATGCCTGTGCAATAAATATGAAGCTATATGCAGCAGTTGATTAGCTTAGCTTAGCTTAGCTTAGCATAAAGACTGAAAACAGGAGGGAAACAGCTAGGCTAGCTCTGTTCAAAGGTGACAAAATCCACCTACCAGCACATCCAAGCTTTACAATTAACATATTGTATTTCAGTTGTTAAAACTGTAAAACTTAAGTGTAAATTGACAAGTTATGGCTTTACTGGGTGTTAAACTAGACAGCTTCTTCGCCCAGCATAGCAGCTACCTGGAGTCACAATTTGTGTCAAACTATTTCATTAAAGGGACAGTTCACCCCAAAATTAAAAATACATATAATTTCTCTTTCCTGTAGTGCTATTTATCTGGCTAGATTATTTTGGTGTGAACTACAGAGATGTCTGCCTTCTCTCCAGTATAATGGAACTAGATGGCTCTCAGCTTGTGGTGCTCAAAGCACCAAAAAAAAATACATTTGAAAAACTCAACAGCAATGTCTCTTTACAGAAATCATGACCTGGTTACTGAAGATAATCCACAGACCTTGTTGTGAGCAGTTTCATGTAGGAACTATTTTCTTTCTACCGAACTACACCTGCCAACTGTATCACCATGCGGAAGTAAACATAGACCTACTGCTGGCTCTCCTAGCGCCATGCCATTAATGTTAACATTTCTGGCTGTCACAAGCAGGAAGTGTGCATCTACTACACCATTAAGAGATGCATGATTGGTTCTGTGTGGTGATAAAGTTGGCAGGTGTAGTTCAGGAGATAGAAAATAGTTTCCACATGATTTTGGGAAGTGAGAAGAAGTGAGTTTTTCATACGGATTTTTCATTTGGCACTTTGAGCACCACAAGCTGAGCGGCATCTAGTTCCATTATATTCAAGACAAGGCAGACATCTCTACAGCTGATATCTCCAACACTCTGCAAATCACATAAAACAATCTAGATTGATAAATAGCACTACAGGTAAGAGGAAAAATATGTATTTTTCATTTGGGGCTGAACTGTCCCTTTAAAAGAGAGTCATATTATGAAGAAATAACATTCATTTTTGTATAGCTGTAAGCATTATGTGGTTGACCCACTTGTAAAACTGAGTCCAGCTAAATCCAAATAATGATTAGAAATCTGCTGATTTATTTAATGTAACTCATACAGGCTAAATATTAATTTAAACTAGCTGTATCAGGACAGGATGATAAATTCAGAATGGATGCACACATGAAAACATGGATAGAGACAGGAGAAAGACAGCAGGACTGACACCTGAGAAAGACACATGTACTGTATGCATGACGTGTTTTCGGTGGTGGCTGGATGCATAAAATGGCACGATGGATGACTAGTAGACGCAATAAAGGTATAGAGGCCTGACATACGAGCGAGGGAGTGTGGTTTCGTTGGTTTCGTTGGGAGCCAATAGTAGCATTCGATGCGTTTCCACTTACATCGATGTAGTTGGCGTTGATGTAGTCGGAGGAGGGGTCGTCCTCTATGGGCTGGAGAATAACCCTTGAATGGTCATCTACAGAGAGACACAAGAGCACAGTGTTGGAAAGGGCAAACAGATGGAGATGAAAGGAAAGAAATATTTGTTTTAGGGCATTCTAGAGCAAAAAGTATATACGATATTCCCCTTCTCCTCCTGTAAAGCCTGCTGTAACTTCTCTTATGAACATACATAAATAAAGTTTGCTTACATGCTATAATGTTCCCATAGCGGTTCTTAGTACGGTTCTGCTCCTTCTTGGCCACGTCCCAGGATGCCGACTGCCCCTCGAAGAAGCTCTGTATCACCAACAACACAAACAAAGCAATACAAAGGAAAATTACACGTCATGGATCCTAAAAAATACCATTCCTGCTGTCTCTGAGCAGAGAGAAGTGCTTGAGCAATTTTTTTCCCGTGTGCACGTGTGGTGACATAATGCTGATTGGATACATAAAAAGGGGAAACAGAAGAAGGTTTGTAACTCTTTGACTCTTAAGTCGATAAAGCAGGAAATACTCTCAAATTAAGAGGCAATTCAATCCTTGTGGTCATTTTATCATTTTAATGTAAAGCCAAAACATCAAATAAACCATCATTGATTTTCTTTATACACTGTTTGTTTTCCTCCACATTAGATACGTGTGTACAACACATTTCAGATATCTTATTGTGCTGAACTGTCAAGTCCTCCGATACAGAATCAGAATTATTCCTCGGTTTTTCAACCTGGACTCTGTTTTCCCTTGTTCCTGTGTTTAGGTGAATAATAAGAAAACAATTTTTGAGATTAGCAGTATTGTGCAAGACTGCTGCAGCCAGCAATGTGCAATAGGTGACAATAATGACTGGGGGCACGTTCACACAGTTGATTACGTTCACTAAAAGTGTTTGTTTTTGCCATTGACAGGCTCAGATTGGTATCATTAAGTGTCTGACAACATTATACTGACATTATGGGGGTGGCACTAGCTCAGTCCATGGGGGCTTGGCTTGGTAACCGGAGGGTCGCCAGTTCAAGTTCTCATATGGACCAAGTATGGAGTATGGGCTGGCTGGAGAGGTGCCAGTTCACCTCCTGGGCACTGCCAGCATGATCTTGCGCAAAGCACTTAACCCACAACTGCTTGGGTGCCTGTCTAAGGCCGCTCCCTTGCTCTGACATCTCTCCATTTAATGCATGTTTAGGCCCTGTTTGTGCATGTGTGTGTACTTGGGTAGATCAGAGTAAAAAGAAAAAAAATCCCCTCGGGATTAATAAAGTATGTCTTCTTCTTGTTCTTCTTCTAGAGGAAGGATCTCTCCAGAGATAGACCTTTTTATTAAAGAGTAAGATCCTTTTTGTTTAAACCAGAAACATTGAAAAACCCACCAGACTCCATTTATATAAACAGTCAGTTAGTGTGTGTAGAGTCAGCATATTGTCACATCTCACTGGATGAATTAAGGATTTATTTCAACCAAACCAGAGTTGGTGATTGTTGGGACAGTGGCAAGAAGAACCATGACAGCCTTTAGTGAGTTTTATTTTCTTTCTGTTAACTTTGAATGAAGAGCGTTTTACAATGATAAATTGCAGTCTATTCAAATTAAGTCTGGTGATTCTGGGTGACAGTGATATCTGGTCTGTTACTGTTTATACAAAAAGGTCAAGCTCTCTGGGGATCCTTCCCCTAATGTTTTCAGACACTTAAAACAATAATCTGAACATAAATGGCAAAAACAAACACTTTTAGTAGACGTCCCCGAATGATTACACTGCAGCCTGTTTTGCCACTGCAGCACTCTCGCTCAATACTGGACCAATTTCAGAAAGTGGTGCATTAGTCACTTTGACACAAAAACATGGGGAAAATAAACTCCTGGATGAAAAAAAAGAAGTTGCCATTTAAGGTAAAAATATTTGTATCACTACTTCTAAAAACAAAAACATTAACTAGACTACCAATGCTACTGTTACTAGTAACGAAAGTACTGCCTATAATAATCTTACTTCATACTCCTCCTTAAAGCCGTAGCTGTCAGATGTTTTCATGAGGTTGATGTGCTGCAGAAGGTCGGCCACTCTGATGGCAGGGTGGAGCTGCCCTGTCTGATAGGGTGATTCAGTTCCTTCACAGTGATACCGAGGAACGTCCAGAAGCCTGCTGTTCTCCGCTGCAGAGGCACTGTGGTTCTCATCTACAACGAAAGAGGTCACTACTGGTTAGTTCAATTGCATATTAATCAACATTTAAGTTGGATTTATTTGTTTCTTCACTGTTTTATTATTTCCCAGGTAAAAAAGCAGATAAAACGGATCCATTTCTTTCTTATCAGGTCTGACAGATAAATCGTGCAATTAAAAATAAATATAACTCATCAGTTTCATCGAGATAAACACACGTAAGCAGCAGGCTAGTCCAATAAGGGAATAGATATGATCTTTTCTTAAGTAATTTACCAGAATTGTGTTTTTTGACCAAAATGAAATGTTGTTTTTTCAAGACTAAACATCAACAAATATGGATTGCAGCAGAATATTTCATTAGACAAAAACATGCTGCAAATTTTTTAAATGATTACATCTATCTCTGTTCAATTAATTTTGTCTTTTGAACATTACAAGGCTCTGCAGTCATTGAAAATGTTTGGATCACACGAGTCAGAAACAATCCTATGCTGCCATCACAGTAACCTACTTCTACAAATAATATAGCACTTATTATATGAGTGTACCTTAATCTTTCTCCAGAAATATCGAGTATATACAGAATGAATACACATGCAAAAAAAGAAGTTGCACAGCACTGTTGATTTAGAATTTAAAAGTCAGTGTTATGAATTAAGCTTCAAACTATTCTTTCAGCCCCTTAACCGCAACTTTTTTGTCTTTCCAAAGCCAGTGCTAGCTATTGGCTTTGAACTATTACCATTAGAAAATACTGCATTTTCCTCAAACCAAACAAACCGTAGGTCACTGTCACTGTCTCTGTCTATACTCACCTGTGATTGGAACTACATGTCAAAGCAGCAAGAAGAGAGAAGAGCAGAAAGGTTTAGTCAGACGTCAGGATAGAAGGATGTTAGTAAGACTTTAAAAGTGAACTAGAGGTTCAAAAGTTACAACTCTGATCAATGCACAAGGAGCCCAAAGGTTTATATGTAATGGATGATAAAAAAAAGTAGATGATCTCACAAAACAATGAAGCAAGCATTTGCTAAAATATCTTTAACAACATGAAAGACACTAAACAGCAGGACACACCAACATAAATCGAACCATAAAGTCTACTGCAACGCTCTCTAGTGGTTTCATCAACTGCTATTTACACCTTTGATCATTCAGGTCATCCAGGCCTCCTACACCTCCAATACAATTTGTAATTATAAAATTAGGTGGTTTTATTCCATCTTAAGTATGGTACAGTTTGGCACAGCATCAGCACTGATGCAGGCATTATGCTGGATGGTCCTGGTAAAGAAGGAGCTGAGCTGGAAGGCAAGGCTCACGATTTACCAGTCCATCTACGCTCCTACCCTCACCCATTGTCATGAGCTTTGGGTAGTGACTGAAAGAATGAGATCACGGATAAAAGCACCCAAAATGAGTTTCCTTCTTAGGGTGGCTGGGCTCAGACTTAGAGCTAGGCTGAGAAGCTCAGATGCTCGGAGGGAGCTCAGAGTAGAGCTGCTGCTCCTTCGAATTACAAGGGACCATTTAAGGTGGTTCAAACACCTGATCATTAGAGAGGTTCTGGGCATGTCCTACTAGTAGCAGGCCCAGGGGTAGGCCCACAGCATGCATGAGGGATTGCATATCTCATCTGGTCTGGAAATGCCTCCTCTAGGAGGAGCTGGAAGTCGTTGCTAGAGAGAGGGACGTATGGAGTGCCTAACTCAGCCGTCTGCCCCACAACCCGGCCACGGATAAGCAAATAAGTGAATGGATGGTGGCTTTATTCCATTTTTACAAACCTCACCACATGAACATATTTCAGCATCTGGAGCTATAATACATTTAAACCACATATGAGTGATCATCTGCTATATATAATAGAGAGCACGCAGATTTAATTCACACTCAATAACTTTGCATTTTGAAAGCTTGTATGTTGAAAGAGTATTTCAGTGGCAGCTAATTTTGGGGCTCAAATTGTTGCAGAACTTCCAGGTGAGCGTTTCTGTGCTGTGGGGGATAATGTGAGTTGGCAGTCGTAATGCGCAGACTGACAGGAAGTATAACAGAGTAGCTTGGGGTTGCAGAACAACCGACTGATTTCATCTTCGCCACTGTTTATTAACTGACACTGTTTATTCCATCCAACTGATGCTTTTCTGTGCTCTGAGGACATGTTAGCTCATTACTGATTGTTAAAGGTTTGCTGAGCCCTCGTCAGGCCAATTAACAGTAAACTTGACCCGACACTGCCTCCTAATTCGCTACTTCCTGCTACTTCTTCCCACTCTGTGATGTGATTGGCCGGGACAGATTGTAACTGCGGCCTTCACTCCAAATTAGAGGCTAAGGATCAGTTAATTAGCACAGTTTGGTGGCGTCGTGGACTGTGGAGCCCTTAAGGGTATGTTAGAACTCCACATCACGCCACAGCGTTAACACTAGACTAGACTAAAGATGCACACACTGCGATGCAATACTGGAGCTGGAGAAGCATCCAACTTGGCAAAAACTACAGTTTTCTCAATTCATACTGGGGCATCAGCAACAAAACAAACCTAGGGAATATCACAGATGGTAGAAACTCAAGCATACTTTGAGATCCAGCGCACAGGAAAAGTTCTGCCAAACACACAGGCCTGTAGGCACTAAGTTATTCTCTGTCACTTGATGTCACAGATTTAATCTGCAGCCGTTTTGCAGTGGCAGTGTGACAAATTGTCTTCCTCCTTTTAAGTGTCAGATTCTGTCGTTTTTAGGACAGGGAATGGCATGCCTTAAAACAACTCCAAACTGTGGAAATAATGAGGTCTCTAAGGGAGAATGATGGTAATTACTGTGAATATCAATACTGCTCAGTAGGAAACAGAAACTATGGCTGGGATTGGGAGTTAATGCACCTGGGGAAAACACAGTACGGCAGATGAAGTGCTTGGCTGTTTTTTAGCACCGGCCATGTTTTACACAGAGAGTTGGCACGAGGTGGCAAAAAAAAGATAAAAGATGAACACACAGTTTTGCCAATCTCATATATTCTAAACCATTACACACCCTGAGATTGCCTTTGAACCAAATCCAAACATCTATTTTGTATTTCTGTTGCATGTCTTGTTCATTTCAGTTCACTGCCTGCAGAACTGCCTATCAGTGGTAATACCAGAGACGTTTGTTAAACATTTAGCACTTCTGAAATGTAGATAAGAAACAACAATGTGAAACTGAAACTTCAAACAAGCCGCACTATCCACCCACAAAAATATACGCAACAGAGCTCAAAGTACAAAACACAGGATGCAGGATGTAATGGAAACTCTGACCATGTCTGATGTTTCAACTGGTCATCTGGAAGTTGGGACCTAAGGGACGTACAAGACGGGGCTACAAACACAGGGACTTTAAGATGAAGATGGGTGATGACTAAAGGGATCTGGTGGTGAATGTGACATATCCGACCATGCTAGAAGTCTCACCTAGCACAGCAGTTGGAACCAGAGGATCGTTGGGCACTGTGGGAGGAAACACGGTGAGCAAATGTTCTCAATGTCAGTGTTACTCAAAAAAGAACCTAATAGTGAGCAGTGAGCATCCGGAAAATTCAAAGAGGATCTGTGTATGTCTCTGATGGACTACACATTCTCCAGTCATGACTTAAACATGAGTGAATCATCTTAAGGATCATCTATTTTGGCAAAACCATCCCACAGTTTTTGCTTTGATCAACGTGGTCTGGTTGAGCCATGAATTATTGAACTTGGGACAGAAATTATTTATCAGCAGTTCTTGTGTTCACACATCAAACATAAACATGTACACTGGTCTGCACTGTCAATGCTCTTTGTTTCCATACTATCTAACAGGAAAACTGATCAGGCCGAGTCGACTCTTGAGTTGTTTTTCTACAGCTGAAACAATTATGCAGACAGGACTTCTTCCACTACAAACTAGTAAGGATGGAAAAGTTGGTGTAAAGTGTGTGTATCTATAAAAGGTAAATGCAACCATGGAAGCAGATTCAGCAAATAAATGATAACATACAGTCATGATGATGATGCCGTCATTGCATCGGCCACTATAAACTGTCTTTGTTGTCTCTGGACAAGGCAACAAGCTTATGTATGCACACAGGGCTGTTAACAAAACTCTTCCACGGGCAGGTAGCTAGTTGTTCAAACTCTGTATTTCTAATGTCCAATGTGTTCTCCAATACTGTACACATCTATTGACTTTCTTTGTTTGAGGTTTGACTGGCGCTCTTTCAATTACATCATCAAGTTGTACCCTCTTCTGCAGGGGCACCTAATGAGAGAATTACCACCACAACTCCCAATATTCACATAACAGTAATGGATGGAAAAGTACATAGATTCACTGTTTTTCCAGACAATTTTTCTTTTGCAAAAAATTAAAATTTGTGGAAGGAAACCCAACTACTGATATGGAGACCAATTTAGGAGATCAAATGATTACACCCCCTTACCCAAAAAACCCCTGAGAGATTAATCAATTGTGATGATAACTCTGTAATAACAACTGTAACCTGGCCGTAAGCTGTTCTTACAAACTGTCCATATGTTTTCCCACGAAAGGTAGTGTAACCAAATTCGTACATATCCGTACTTGTACTTATGGGTCACAAAAACCTGGACTTTCCCCTGGAGTCGTGTGTTCAGAACCGTATGAACTTTGAGTGGTCTCTGTCATTTTAAGGTACGTTCTCACCATGTGTCTTTTCCTAAACCTGACCACAGTGACTTTATGTTAATTATGTAACTGTATGTTAAGGGTGTAACGTCAGTCGTGGGGTGTTAATTCGTAGGACATCATCTGAACTGCATGCAGGGTATCATACAAACTGCTCCATGAGAATACGCCGAGTAAGAATAAACTTCAATCTAGCATTTGCAAAACTTAAATCTTAGTGACATAAGAGGAAAGATGAAAATACGTAGAAGTATTAGAATAGAAAAGGATAGAACTAAATATTAGATTTCAAGTGCACTTATTGACAGAGATTTGTGTTTTAAAGATCGTCCATGGTTAATACTACTGCTTATGGAATAAAATTATAGTAACAATAGTCTTGTTTGTGAACCTACATCTGTTGTTGTAGTTGTGAGAGTCCATGAATGTCACAGCCATGGGATCCTCTCCGTGCAGAGTGCTCTGGTCGGCATAGCTGCGATCCATGGCATTCACCATGTGAGTCATTTCCTGCCGTGTCGTTCCGATGGCGTCTTTACGTTTTTTAGCCAGTTTCCTGTCGGGGGGCAGAGACGCACACAGTCAGGCATCTTAACAACAAACACACAAACATCAGCCAGCCTGCAGACCACCGCCTCGTAAAGAATAGTCTCTAATTATAAAGCATAGTCAGATTTTGTTATGAAGTATAAGTGGTAACACATGTTTTTTGGTAATAAGAGCACGGCTGTGGGCTGCAGGCTGCTGAATCAAGATGCAGAGTTTAGATCCAATCAGGAGGAGAAAAGGAGAAAAGAAGAAAGTGGAGGAGAAGAGAGAAGAGAGGAAGAAGAGAGGACAGAACAGGCAAGGGAGGAGGAGGAAAGGCTTGTCTGTAAATGGCAGCATGTAACAGGCTCGGCTATAGGAGCAGAGGGAAAACAGCTTCTAATACAGACCAGGGGAAATGACCTATGGCTTACAAGTAGCATAGGGAACACCTGTTATCAACCTCTGTACCATAGATGAGCTGTCAGATGAAAGCCTTCGAATAAGTTTTATCTCAACTATATTTTTAGTTGCCTGAAACTATATATTTCTGCATTATCAGAGGGTCGGCGGAACAAAAAGAAAAAACACAAAAAGAAAATTCTTTGAAGCATTAAATATTTGGTTTTCATCCGACAGCAAAGAAAAATCCCATTAAAACAACAGTAAAGGAATGTCTTATGATCTACAGAAGCTCAGGGAAACCATTTACCAACCAAAGTACCACAGTTATCATCATATGAGTAGTACGACTCCAGGTCACATCTTAAATAGTCAGTCCAGAATTATGAGAGAACGGTACACCGTCTCTCTGGGAAAGATTTCTTAAGAGACACCTGATGTTTAATTTTAATCTCCTATTTTCCTCACAGGCTTTTCTTATATTGGGCAATTCTAATGCAAGCAATAGAAACCTTTCTTCATCGTGAAAGCTGATGCCTGGTGACAAAAATTAAGTTTAAAATGTAAACATCAAGGTATCATCTTCAGGTTTAACTCTCTTTCGGTGTGTGCAATCCATAAAATCCCAGGAAAAATAACTGCAGAGGGCTTTATACTTCGAGCATGACAGCGCATGCAGGAACATTTTGTACCCAGAGCCATAGATGTGCATCAGTTAGGACAACATCTGTACAGATGAGCAAACATTTATTATGTTTTTACGTGACCTGCTTTAATTGAGTCACTTGTCGAGCACTTTGGGCTCCAACATAAATGTAAGAAAAACTCTCTTAAAGGTTTGATGAAGAAATAAATGTTTGATTGTTGCATAACTGACACAACGTACGGCTCTGACAGAAAGCATGCTTTGTTTTATCGTTTACCTCTTCACCCCCAAATACACCAACTCCACCTCTAAGACCACACACACTCACACACTCAGGAACATTGATTTAACTGCTGAGCAGGTGTAGCTGTTCATGTGGGTGTTTGTGAGTGTATTACAGTTTGTCCAACAAAAAACACGAAAACAGGAGAAAATGATACATGAATTATAAACCACCATTATGCTGCATACTTGTACCATATGTAAGAGAGGCAGAAACAGAGAGAAAAGAGGAGGGTAGGTGTGACCAGAACTAGAGTGAATCTCTGCTGCAATTTTATTAATTTTTAAGGTCTGAATTTTAAATTTAAATTAATTTTGAGAGCAACATGTGTTAGTAAAAGTACTGTAATGTCTACTGAACATACCTGATCACTGAAGCTCTACATTTATGCCAAGACACTCTTTAAATATCTCAATAATGAATAACAAAACTAAAAACATGGCAACTAGGTCTTCTCCTGTTGAGATGAATTTAAAAATGTGAAGAGGGGTTACAAAGGGTTAAGTGGTCTGAAAATTGTAGACAGTAGATGTTGTTCCTTATAAATGTATTTGAGTAGATGCTCAATTGTCCTGTCGTTTCACTCCAACTTCAGAGGAAAGTTTTGAACAATTCCATTTTTCTGCCTCTTTCTTCATAACTTTACTTCATGGGTAAGCTACAAGATTAAAGGTAGGTTCAGTAGGTAACTTTTATCAGAATAACTTCTTATCATCTTTTGCTAGAACTGTCACTATACCCTGGTAGATAAGCAAATTCAGAGTCAGGAAGAGTCTCTATACCACAGTGTCAATCACTGCATGTGCTGTGCTTGTCTGAGCATACTCCCACTCAGTCAAGCTCTGTATCTTCAGAGCACGGCTTCAGGAGGAGTTTTGCAAAAACACGATGGCTGAGAAACAACCACCAATAATGACAAAACTGCCCATCCACCCTTTGCCAACAGCAACGTACATGGCAAAGACAAATAAACAGAAGAAAACCGATGACGAAAACCAAGCTTTCAGCCCCACGGGTCTTTTTCTGCGTACCTGTCTTTGCGGTGTGCGTTATTGTGTATGAGCAGTGATTTAAACTGCACTATAGACTCCTCCTGGCTCTGATTGGTTATTGTCATTTAGGTGCAGTAGATTATTGTAAATGACTTTAGGGGCACGTTCTACTGTCAGGATTTAGTGACAGTTTCAGCAAATATGATAAAACCTTTTATTTATTTATTAATGCTAACTTGTCCTGCTTCATTTGTTTGCCCGGGTCATGCAGACACAAGCTGGGGATGAATATATTTCCATATTTATTCAGTAATCTGTTTGTGTTACTGCTAAATAGTGCACATGAGGCGATTAGGGGTCCATTTTGGTCACAGCCAGAGAGACAAAAAGACAGTAGAAAAGCAAGTACCCACAACACACGAGAAAAACCCACCAACAACTACTGAAATAGAGCCGTGTGCTCCGCACAGGAAGCTGACGGTCTCAGGACGGGAAACCATAGAAGAAACACTGAGCAAGTGTAGCAGAGTTACCATGATACCTGTGACTTGATGGGCGGATGGATGATCACATGACTACATGCACACAAAGAGCTACAAGTCACAAGTGCAGCATTCTTTTTTCAAATAACACGCTTAGGCCTGTGTCGTCCCACTTTGGCCTGCTTGGTTCTGGTTTACGGCCCACTCTGGCCTTCATAAGTCTGCTTCAGAGCAACTTTGGAGCATGTAGAGGACACCAGGGCTGAGGTCAATTCACTGTCAGTTCAGTCCCTTTAACATTTAATTTGTTAGTGATTCAGCATTTATTTATTTATTAATTAAGTTCTTTTATAAGACAGAAAAACAATCAACATTTTCAGTGTCTAAGCGTTTTACAAAAATGTTTGCACGAATGGTTGAAAATAAGGAAAATACCTGACTGACATGAAAGTGAGCTGACCCCCACCCTGGCAAGGCGTCAATGAGGATGGCTTTGGCTGGTTGGTCAGAGCTGAAAATGTGTTTTGTCTTGAAAAAAGTATACTGCATCTTTAAAAATAACAACAACTAGCCACTAAGAATTCGCCCAATAAGGTAACAGCAGCCGGGTGAGCTGATTGTTGATTGGTTTGTTTACTTACAGGTAATAAGAGTATGAATAGTAGGTCCTCCTGGGGTTGTGAGCCAATCAGAAAGCAAAGAATGAGACACAAGGGTCATGAATATGCAAATTAGGACAATACTGTCCTGTCCCAACCAGCAACAACAGAAACAGAAGAAAACACCTTTTGACTGCTACAACTTGAGGGTCATGCAAGGGGTTGCTATGGTAACTACGGGCCCTGGGTCTTCAAAAACTCAAGTTTAAAGCTACATAAATACTATAAAACAAGCTGAGACTTATAAAACTACCTATACTATATAACAACCACTATCTATATTAAACTATTACCATGCAGTCTGTCTCTTCTTTACTTCTGAAGGTGTCATATTTAAAGTAATCGTGCAATAGTATAACTGGACGGCCCTGATTAGAAATTTATTTTTAGCCCTAATCAGCCAATCACCTTTAACTTAATCCTACAGAAAGTAAACAATTTGTCAGAACTCATATACAACGCTATCCGATCTGTAACACCACGCAGCTCGCTTCCTGTAAAGCAAGCATGATGTCATTGCGATGTCATCATGTCCCACCATTTTAAAGATGCAGTATTGTTCAAAGTTGTAAAGGTTCGATGACAATGAAGATTGATCTCCCCAGAAACCTTCATGGAAAACCACTAAATGCTGTCGACAGAACTTCACACTCATGAGGGTGACATAAAATCACAGATCATTTTCCACTTCTGCTCGGTCAGCTGTCACAGTTTAGTTACACATCAATGTAAAAATGTCAGATCTGTTTTCATAGGTCAGCACCAGCGACTGTACATAAAGATGGACGACATGACGGCTCCCTAAAAGTGAGGCCAAAACATCTCCATCGCCCCCTGCTGGCTGGCTGCAGTACAGGTCATAAACCATACCCCCTCCAGTGGGACATGCAAATAAAAAAAATCACACAAATAAATTTTTCCCAGAGATGGTTTCCGTCATTTTACATAGTTGTCATTACACTGTTGTGTGTTCAAGCATTTTTTTGTTTGTTTGTTTTGATAATTTTCAATGTAATTTACTAATTTTAAAGGGGTTGTGATGTCATGATTGACAGCTGTGTGTGTCAATCAGTATGCTCACAATCAATGGCACTGCTGGCCATTGGGTCCAACAGGTGTATGGGTGGGAACTTCACTTACACTTCCCAGTCACTACTGGGCAGACTCTGGCTCCAAATCAAAGTCCTATACGGGTTGGAATTTAAAGACCCATTCTCAAACCAGCATCGCGACATGCATAACTGCACCCGCCCACCTGCACATATGACCAATCCATTAATTATAAGTGCTATATTGTAGGCAACTGGATTTGCTTGAGACAGCTGTTGAAGACGTCTTCAAGTCTTCAAGAAACTCAAGCAAGTCCAGTTGCCTACGATATAGCACTTGCGATTACCATGACCTAGATGACTGAGAATCTTCACTGACATGCGGCCAATTAATTCCACAACTTGACCTGATCTGCCCACACAAGATCTACTGCCCAACCTGAAACTGCAAATTCTGAAGAAACCATGCACTGTTCAAATAATTTGGTTAGGCAGCACCTTTTAAGTGATCATTTTGGGACATATTCCGAAAGGTAAGATGATGTATTTTAAAACAAAGGTATATACAATTTAAATTAATATTTTTTGCTTATTCTCATAATATTGAGCAGCACATCGCCACAGTAAACATGCCTGTTAGTAACAAGCCTGATTGAAGAGGCTCTTATGTTGCAGCTAACACAGAAGACAGAGCCAACTAATAAATTCAGCAGTTAAAGGTTAAAACATTAAATTTGATTAGTATTATTCTCATTTTATTTTTAAACATTTATAATCTCACACCCGGGATCTGACCTGTATGTTCATTATTCACCCAGAAATAAAGTGAAGGCGAAATAACACCCCCACATCACCTTTTGTGTGGGTTACCTGTGGGTATCAGTGGGTACCAGACCCAGTGCATGACTCCACATGATATCCTCAGCACAATATGGCTTCAGTTTTGTACAGTGAGTAGAAGGGGAGACACGTTGTCAATCTTTATATACAGTGTATGCTCAACATAAATACACATTATGATAGAAACCAAACTTTAGGACTTTCAGTAGCTTTGAGGCAGCTTTCCATCCCATGCTGAGATATGCTAATCAGTTTTCTCAACCAGAAACTGCTGTCATTAGCTGATCAATGTTGGTTGCTGCACAGTCTGATATGTTCTCATTAATCAAACAAAAAATGTAACTAAAAAAAAGTAAAAACACAACACAATGTGTAAACCTGGAAATATAATAATTGAAAATATATTATTTCCAAAAATACCATTCATTTTCACTTGTTAGTGCCTTAAAATATATCGCAACCTCTCAGAAATACACTTAAATGTAACATTTTAAGATGATATTTTACTTAACAGGAAGACCGTCACCCTGTGGCAGTCCTTATTGTTTTAGTACCAACGTTAATTTGGAGTTTCCGCTGGCCCAAAAGCATAAAATGCAGCTTGAGCTGGTTAAAGTTCAAAACAACAGACACAGACTTCAGCTCTTCCCAGCTGTGCAGGAAATTATAGAGCACTAAACAACAATTACCGACCAAAAATGCATTTGCTTTGAGTTTGGACCAATTTTGTTTTATCAAAAAGGCCTGAAATCCTCCAGAGAGACAGAAAATGTTCAGTAAAACATGTAACAGTAATCAGGCCATTGAGTGCAAACTGTGACTCAAACACTGTCTTGTTTTTGGACGATGGTGAATATATTTCCAATGCTGTTTGGTATCATGAAACAGTAGCAGCTTCTGCAATAAACAGAATATTTCTACCATCTTCTTTAATCTCATGTCCTTTGGATATAATTTACAATTACACTTTGACACTGAATCAGCAGCACGACTGCTGGATCACATGAATTCATTAAGAGAATTAGAATAAAAATATGGAGGTCAAGGGCTGCGAGTTCTCCAGTGACGAGAGTTCATCACTGACTGTAATTTAATGTCTCGAATTGTTTTTGATTTGCCGAGCGAGATCATGATTGGTTGTAATTGAGAGACTGTTTTCCTGGATGCTCCCTAAAGCCTCTGGCAAGATGCAATACTTCAGAGTATCTCCTGAAAGAGTCGGCTGATGATTACAAGTTGAGGGTAATTAATCTAACATTTCTTGTAGCGTGTTTGAGATACATGATGGTCAATGAGCTATTTATTTTGAGGCTTTTTATTATAACAAAAAAAGATGTGACACGAGGCGCCTGACATGAATGTATTTGTACCGGATATGCAAATTAAGTTCATAATTATTCTCTTTATAATGAGCCACTCAGGTTCCCTGAACACCAGATTTTAATTGAAAGGTCAGAGGAAGAACGGCGTCTTTAGTTACAGTTAATTATTACACACATATTCTCATGTACACAAATCAGAAAGGCGCATGCACACGTATGCACACGCATGCCCTGAAAAGTACAAAATCATAATTTAACCTAATGTAACCTCACAGTTGTTGAGGTAAGATTTGATGAACAGAGAGCAGGGTGTATGCAAAATTAAAAAAGTCTAGGCTTAAAGTGGTGGGGTGTTTTTCGTTCAAAGCATCATAGTGACTCTTCTAAGGGCCGGGACACATGACGTGTCTTTAGCCACCTGAAAAATGCAAGCACGGGGGCTCGGTGCTACTCTTGTGTATACTCTGCGCCAGCTTTCAAGAGTGTGGCAGCAGGTTGCCTGAACTTGCTGAGCAAAAATGACTGCACTCAGCACTGAATCATAGCCTACACAACAGAAATTCGTAAGTCAGAGCTGATCTTCCTCATGTGTTGTGCTATCTGTGGGACTGACGTAAAGCTCTGGTTAGCCCTACACTTAAATGATCAACCTCGTCTCCATAGTTACCACAGAGTGATATTTACAGAAGAAAGCGAAGAGATCGACCTGATTGTTCCTCATCTAATGACATGTGACGCGAGTTGCTTCATTCCAACAGTTAAACTTGTTCATCTCAGGGCACTGCACCCTCAAAAAGAGGCACTTGGGAATGATGTGAAGGCATCGTTCTTGTTTCTGAGAGCGCCTTTCACGCGCTTGCATTGCCAACAATGGATTGGATTGGATTTTAGGGCGTAAAAACGTGGCATGTGTCGGACCCTGACAGCTTCATAGACTTTCTGACGGGATAATATTACACAATTTAGATAAGCCACTGTGAACTGCCTTGCTGTGAGTCATAGCTCGATGATGAACATGAATCATGCTGCTGTTAAAACCCCCCGAACAGACTGTTTCGTGTAGAGCACCTAAAAGTAAACAACTTCTGATGCATCACAGGCACACAGAAGTCACACTAACCTATCACATAAATATGACTACATCATGGGGGCACTTCCTTTCTAAATGTCACAGAAATATATGAGTGTTATCCTGCCACTATGTCCAAAAACAGTTTGATCTACTGCAAAAAAGACCTGTATGATTCAGCTGCAGCTGCACTCTCATGTTGTAGCTGTGTGTAGCCACCACATGGTGGAGCCCTGCACCAGACTAACACATCACAGGCCAAACATTACAGTGACACCAGGACCAACTGAGACTCGGGAAGGACGAGGTTTACAGCAGGAGTCTTTCCACCTCTACATGTTCACAACTTTTTTCTTTTCTTCTTTTTTTGTCTAAACAAGTCTGTCTGTCTAAATCAAATGTGCACAAACCTCTTTAAGTGCTTAACCGCTTACATCACATCACACTAAATAAAAAAAAAATGTTGCCTGTGAATTCCTTCAAGCATGAACCTAAAAAAATAAAGTGTTCAGGGCAATGTGTGTGTGCTCCAATGGCTTTAAAAAATGTATGTCGACACCACTAACCCTAACTTCAGTCAACCACCCCTCACTCTCATATTCTCCTCACTCCCTACTTTCCAACATCATGCTTTTTCCTCAATCAGCTCTGCCAAATCACCTTGTCTACACACAATGGACCTTCATCTCTGTCCCCTTTACCTCTACAATACCACATTCTAGGTTTTTTTTACTAAATACTGTGTCCCTGATGTGGTTATATAATCCAAGTGTGTTGGATTTTTCTAATTCTACTCCTGAGACGTTCTTTTGCTTGAGAATCTCTTTCACTGTTTCTCTTCTTTACTCTCAGTGAGTCGGCTGTTCTGTTTTTGTTTGGGTTTTTTTTTACCTATTTTGATTCAACAGCTGTACTGTAAAAGAAAAAAAAACCATCACAACCCTCAGATCTCTCCTGCACTAAATCACACAACTGTGAGGCAGGAGTTTCTAATTTTTGAAACACCATATTTTCACACTGGACTTCAGGAAAACAAGCCTTCGGCTATTTAATGCCCTCAAAACAGAGCAAACTTCAGGAGGTGATCGAGCTGGTTCTGAAGGGAGATCAACGTTTATGGTGGATGGATGGAGGATGGTGTTGCTACAGCAAATACTGGACCAACACACAACAAGATAATGAGTTAAGGTGCACATTTGTGTCTGTGTGTTCTTGCATCTGCATGTGTGTTGGTGTAGTACTGTTGTTCACGTAGTACTCAAACTCTTCCTGTTATGCCTCATTAAAGCTGTTGTAGCAGGCGTGGTTAGTAGCTGTCACTCACCTCTTCTTGACCAATAGGATGGCTACCAGCACCAGCAGTATAAAGACAAGAACACCAGCACTGATCCCAGCGATCTTCACCACACGGTCTGTCTGTTTAGCGGGGTCAGGGATGACTTCTGGCTCCTCTGTAGCACCTAAAACATAATAAAACAACATCAACACTGTGGATCTAATGTAATATCAGCTCAAACTACCACAATACGACAGCAATTATTGATTCTTGTGCAGTATTAGGAGTGAACAAAAGGTCATGTTTCATCCCCCTTCATGAAACACTGGTGTATTTATAAGATGCAAAGTGAAAAGCACCATTAAAAGAACACGCTTCAGTGGAAAGCTGTTGAATGACATTAAAGGGACATCTCAGCAGGACTTTAAAATATTGGTTCCCTGAGAAAAATGAAAACATCTTGAAATGCTGCAGAAGAGTAAAAATCCAATATGAAGGACATGATAAGTAGCTTTTAAATTTTTTTTGAGTAAACACTTAGAGATTTAATGTTTCCTGGACAGCATAAGTTGAAAAAAAAAAGTCTCTCAAACTAGTCCCTTTTAAACTGCCTCTTCAAGGTGTGAATCAAATGCTGTTATGCCGCCTCGCCTTTTTATATAAAAGGTACAATCATGGAATAGGGAGACAAAGTTGTCTCGCCTTTTAAGCTGCCAGTGGAGGTAGTAATGGCTCAGCTGTATAAAAGGGACACCTGGCAGGACGGCTGACAGGGTGGGTGTGACGCTTTGAAGATGTATTGTGTGTGCGATCCACAACCAGGAGATTTAAAAAGCAGCTGATAGCAGTTAGCAGCTAACTAAAAAAATAAGAACAGTGGCTAAAAATGTCTGCAAATTGGGAAAACAATGAGTTCTGGCTGACTGTGAATGCTTCAGTGAAACAAATCAATCATCCCTACGTTCTAGTGCTCCAGCTATTGAACCTTCATTAAATACTGACCAGATTTTACTGCGCATGTGTTGTGTGGCAATGATATGATGCAGTATGGCGCTGTGTCTTCTCCTTTTTCTAACCTTCTTGAAAGGTGCTATAGCCATTTGAGGATGTGTATAAAGCTGCCACTTTTAGTCTTCTAGTGCATTATTTTTGTACTTTTCATCCAGTTTTCAATGCATCTTCTGTATGACACTAAATTGTTTTTTGTCAGGTCAAAACGCTCCTAAACGTGAAAATCAACATTAACAGTTTAAATTATCTTCAAAAGCTTTATTGCCTGGGTTTTCCCATAGTGTGTAAAGAGCTGTATTATATTGGGCAAAGAAAAAGTAACAAGGTGATGTTTCTAACCACCCAAACTCTGTCTTTTGGGGCAGCGAACGAGTCAAGTAAAACCCAACACTCAACCAAGCTTTCCAGGAACCCTGAATGCTCGGCTGCGTAGACCTCCACATTTCTGAAATGTTGTTCTCTTGCCTGACTATAAGCCTGTTATACAAATAATAGATTTTTGGCACTATCTTGAGTATTTACGCAACCCTGTGTCACCCAGGGCTGGAAAAGTATGCCACCCAACAGCCTCAGGAATTATGTTTGTGTTCTCTCAAGATGTCTCTACAAAATGCCCTCACATCAGGAAAGTGGTTTGTGTGATAAGGAAACAAATCCTGATGAGCCATTTAAACAGGAAGGTTTAATCGTTCCTCCGCTAAAGATCAGGTAAATATCAAGACTAAATATTCCTTGTAAAGCAGAGTCAGACAACTGCCAACACAAATGCCATGGTAACTGTCATTCATGAGCCAAATATAGCTAAAAGTTGTGTTTGAGGAGCTTATTTGGCTCACAGACTCAAATACTGAGATCAACAGTTAATTCTCCATTAATGTGAGACTGCGATGTAACGATGAACAAAAGAGGTTGCTTCAGCCGCCTCTACTGAACAGTTCATATCTGCACATTTTAGAGTTCATGTGTTTTACAGACATCTGGGCATAAAGCAGGTATACTTTTTAGCAACAATACAAAGGAACACGACTCTCAGACAGATGATAGATGACAAATGAGCCGCAATAATATTTACCATGGCTGCACTCCAAATCACATACTTTTCTTTTTTACTTTCAGTATGTACTGCAGCTGCACCAACAAAGTGCGCACTGTTGCATTGAGTATGTGTACAATTACGACATACTACTTCATAGAGTTGCCTCCAACTTTGGCCCTCTTGCTTTTATTTGTCGCAGTCTGTAGTGCAAAATTTGATGTAAAAATAAAAAGTATGAGATTTGGAACACAGCAGATCCTGTTATCACTTAATGTTACCTTACGTTTCCTTAACAGATACAACAAAATGCAGAGCTCGCCAGAGACGTTGATCAACCTGCTCTGCTGCTGTTACTTTGCAATGCAGTATGTAGTTTTGACTTTTAAGTCATAGCTGCATACATTATAGATTGTTTGTGATTGATGAATTCACTGATTACTCATAGTTCATCTGACTGCTGTTCAATCGATGTGACGACCTTCCCTGTGCAGAGGATTGTGGGTCAGAATAGCCAGAAAAGCGTGCTAGCTTGCATGCTGCAAAATGAGACAGGATGTGAGACATCCTGGTACATTTGGCTTACTGCATTTGACATACTGCATATTGGGAACATAGACTGTACAGTATAAGTTGGACAGCATGATGGCTCCCCAAAACTGAAGCCAAAATGTGTCAATGGCCCCCTGGTGGCTGGCTGCAGTACAGGTCATAACCCCCCTTCTGTCATTTTAGGCAGTTCTTACTATCTGCCTTTCATTCATTTTTCCAATAAAATCAGTTTAAAATAGTTATTTAATGTTATAAAAAAAAAGGGGGTTTGACATGATTGACAGCTGTGTGCCAATCCGTGTGCTTGCAATCAGTGGTACTGCTCGTGATAGGTTGGACAGTAGAAACTTGTTACCACGGAAATCGCCAATGTCCAGACCCTGACTCCAAATGGTTACCAGCGCAAGATGGCAGGAGCCAAATCCAGGATATTTTGGCGCCACCTTTGTGCAGTGGGAGAAGTGGACACGCTTTATCCATCTTTATGTACAGTCTGTGATTAAGACATACTAAATCTTTTACTCCCCCTACTACCATACTATTTAGTTTGGTAGCATGGGTAATAAAATATGTCTTGACCATTTTAGTTTGGCATATTGAAAAGTACAGTAATCACCAAAGTCATTACAAGTCATCCTCAAAGGGGGAACGAAAATGTGCGGACAAAATTTTGTGCCAATCCACTGAGTGGATGATATTTCACAGGAGAAGTTAAAACTTTGACCTGCTGGTGGTGCTTAATGAAAAGTCAGGGGATGACCAAAGTAATTCGAATTCCCTCTTTTTGGGAAACACGGATAACCGTACAAAATTTCATGGCTATTCATCTAGTAATTGAGATATTTTAGCCTGGACTAAAGTGGTTGACCAACTGTCCCCAGGGCTATGACACTAGTATGGTTAAAATCTATCCAGCAGAGTTAAATCTAAAAGTGTTACAGTTTCTTGTACACTGTAAAGATAAAATGCCATAAAGACACAGTGAAAGAGCAGCAGTGGAAGCTGACTGTTTATCCCTGGCTCGCACCATCTTCTGGGTCAATTAAAGAAAAAAAACACTCATCGTACACAGATTACAGCTTTTCATTCAGTTTGCTGTATCATCTGACGGTAATGTACTGAACCAGTGAACTCTCTGCACACTCACTCCTCCTACTCCCAGCTGCAAACACACCAGAAAATGACTACGTATACACAAATAAAGAAATGCTCAACCTACTGTGTGCCTTGCATTGTCTTCTCAGTGTATTCAGGCTATCCTTGGCGTCATGCTCTCCTAGGGAAATGCTTTTGAAATGCAATTTGACTGTAGCTGTCCGATGTTTCTGCACCAATGTCACAGTATATTACTTGTACTCAAACTCATTTCTGCTCCTGATGACTTCAGAGAATTGTCTGAACTCCCTGATTTGGTCTGTTTGGAATATAATTCACAATTGATGTCTCAGGCAGAGTGCACGCTGTAGTGCAGATTCAACCATGTTGATCATGCAGAGAAAGTCAACAGAAAGAGAGCCAGCATCTGTTTTCATGCTCCTAAGCTTAGCGATCTGATCCCACGACGCTGGAATAGTTCGTACTGCGACGTAAGAACATTATCATGCATTATGATAATCCAAATAATCCAACACAAAGGCATATGCACAAAACTCAACATAATGCAATACATCTATCAAACAATAATCCACTTCTAATGCTAAATATCAAAAAGATAAACATAATCTCTCTCTTTATCTCCCTCAGTATTTGGAGCTGAACATATTATTTTGTTCTAAAATGTTTCTGCCGCTGTCATTATGTAACAAAAAACACAGGACTCAGACTGATAGCTGAAGCATTAGTAGTGATGTGTTGGCCAAAATGTTGCTTTGAAAGGATAAGTTTGGCATTATTCTATAATTTTTTTATTGTACGCAAATTCCATGAAAAGACCAAAATCAATAATCAGTTCTGTGGTACTCAGCCCTAAACCCTAATATGTACAGTAAACCTTTAAAAACACATATAAAAATATTCAGTTTAATTTTTATAAAAGGCCAAAAAAAATCTAAAACAGCAGCAAACTGTGGTTTTTACCAAATGTTACTCAAACAGGACTAAAAAGCTCATTTGTTGGGGACTATTTTCAGCTGTGGATCAATACACATGTAGTGCTCTAGAGGGTATTTACGGCAGCAGAACAGAGCATGTGGAGTCAACTCAAAATAAACTACAGTGCCTGCATTAATGGTAATGAAGCAACCTGTCACCCAGTGCAACAGTGTCGGCACAGCAATGCATTTTAATAGTTTGTGGTCAACAACAAAGCAACACAGCACAGATGAGTAAGATGTAGAAGGCTTTGGCTGCACATGCAATACTTAGTATATACTTAAATACTTATTCATTGACTTTGGTCCTTTCGTGGGATTTGTTGACAATAAGAAAACTATAGAATATAATCAGTTTTATTCTTTAAGGATTGCTTTTATCACAGGACAAGCTTCTTGAAACTGGAAAAATTTGTGAAACTCCGGCTATTCTCTGACAAGGATAAAGCCTCTCGGGGACAAGGGCCACATTTTAGGTTGGTCTAGTGAAGCCAGTGGAAATCCAGGTCAAGACTTCCTCTTCCTTGGGCCGGTCATTTTGGCCAATCTCTATAAACAGATACCTGCATTTGAATGAAGTTAAATAAAACAAAAGCCAATGTAAGGATAAACTGTTGTCAGACAATAGCCTGTGGGTCCTGAAAATTGCATTTCGTCTGTGTTTACTTGTAGTTCAAATTGAAGCGGCCAACACTACTACAAACTGAAACTGTTTCCAAGCAAAATTTCTAAATTTTGATGTTTCTAAATAAAATGTCCATGACTTTTTTGATAAAAATAGACCCTGACATTATTTCTAAACAGTTTATCAGGCATATAACAGTTATAACCGATATAATTTGGATGCAAGTCACAGCAGAACCTACCCATAAATGCAGACTGCTGAATATGTCCTAATGGTACTGATGGAGTTGGAGCTGATACATCGGCCAGTACCAGCTTTTCGCAGCAATATTGGGTCATGTTTGGATTGATAAGTAAAAAGAAATCCCCAAAAATGTTCGGGGTAATTTGGAAACATTGTCTACATTACATTATTTGTCCACCAGAGAGCAGTGGCATGCATCTTGGTTGCAGTTCTTAGAAAATTACATTATATATTAAATATAAATATATTATTTAACATTTATTTAGGTTATGAGTTTGAGAAAATAGGATCAGCTACTATATCATAGTTGAATTTATTAAAACTTTTAAATTTTGGCATCCATTTCAGCTTCAAAGCTTCTTACTTCTACTGTTAAAAAAGAATCTTAAATATTCATTAATTTGTTGTTTTATGTTGAACAAGGGTGCATCTATCATTGTGCATTTGTGAAAATATCCTAATTATTTTTTGGTTAATGGTTAAATCTGCACCGCACTTTGGTCTCACCTACTTTCTGTCAATGACAATCAATGGGTAAAAGGTTTAAAAAGAGGACGTAACAGAAAAGAAAAACAATCTCTAAAAAGGTTCTGAGTCCTGAGACCTGACCCCATAATGTCGGCAGTGGCTCTTAATGTCTGTAAAAATTATCCAGGTCAGTACACTAACACTCACAACTTACCCACACAGCTTCACACACACACACATACACACACACACACAAAACACCCTGAGGCAGCAATGACAATACACAATACCCCAGATGACCTAATAGGACCACCATCGCTAAATCCTCCCTCCCGGATGCACAGTTGAGTGCACACATACATGCAGAGGGACGGAGAGAGAAAAGAAGGGACGGCCATCTGACCTCTCTGTCCATTAGTTCGTCTTTCTGCCTCATTAAAAAAACTATAATAAGTCTTTCAGCCTCAGTTAGACCTCCTCAGACTAGAAAGACAGAGCGTCATCTCTTTCTTGCAGCCTTTGGCGCAGCGACCAACCTGTACTTGCAACTACAACCACCAGCAGTTCCTGAAATATGATGACACTGGAAACTCAGAGACTCCCTACATTTTCTCTTATTTTAGAGCAGGAACACGACACCTTACAGGCACCAGGGGATCGAGCCACACCTTTGATCTTTCCCATGGGATCAATTTCCTTCAAGCTTACTGGCTAACATGTCTTGGTCACATTAAACTCTGTGACCTGAAGAGAAAACAGGTGAACCACTGCAGTTATTTTCAACTTGGCCATTTTTTTAAAAAAAACAAAAAAAACAAAACTCATTTAACATTTGGTTTTAATAGGGACGAGGACATTATTACCTAAGCTGGTTTGCAGTGTCTGTTCATTGATGGGTCTTTAGGAAAACACACAAATCAATCAGCCATGATGATTAATTCTACAATCATTACAGCTGATTGCACTGAAAATTATGTCACTTTTACTGTCTGGGTTTATGGTCCTTCAGCTCCAGGAGGTCAAAGCAAGGGCAGAAAGTAATTTTACTTTTAATTTTCTTTAGCCACAATAACACCCATAATGCAACGGGACTAAGATAGCTTGCAAATACAGTCTTCAAGTACTATGATGCTGTGTTCACCACAACTACTGGACGTTTTGTATATATGACACCAGCCTTCTGTTTAAGTCATACAGACTCTTTTTCTCAAATTAATTGACTCAAATTGTGGTTACATGTCTGCACAACAGGGAAGTCCAATGTATTTATATTAAAATTAAAGGCTTACATTAACATTAATACAGTCAACTTTTTTTTTAAAGAAGCTACAAATATCTCTGCGAATATCCCCCTCTGTTAATTAACAACTGCTGTATGTGTATGACTCTTGACTGTAGACCTGCAAAGCTTAGTCAATAAACTGATTAGTCGATCAGCAGCTATTTTGAGCAACATATATATCGTTGAACACTCTTGACGAAAGGCCAGTAGGACCAAAACTTAAGTGTTACTAATAAATTGTGAAGCTGAGCAAGAGCAGTGTGCGGGATTTTCTGTTTTAGGACTTAAGTGATACGTTCCAATGCATCTGCAGTTGGATGCGCAAATATCTCTCTTCAAAGAAACATATTTATTTAAATTATTTTACAAGCAGATATACCAGAGATTAACTGGTTCCAGCTCCTCTGATGTAACAATTCAGTGTGTTTCTCTGTGTTTTTTGAACATTAAATATCTTTCTGACAGTTGGTTGAAGAAAACAAGGAAATTTCAATATGCCACCAGCTCTGAAAAAGTGAACAGGGCATGTTTCACTATTTTCTGACACAAAATAGACAAAATGATTAATTGTTTATTTAAAAAAAAAAAAAAGGTCAACAGATTAATGAATAATGAAAATAACTGGTAGTTGCAGTGCTTGTTGACTGATGTTTGTCAGACCAACATTAATATTGTGCTTTGCTTATAGCATGCCTTACCAAAAAATAAAAATAAAAAAATAAAACAATTAAATACAGAAAATAGGGCCCAGGTTGTCCGTTATCAGACAGAATAGTCAACTTGGTTTCGAAAGTCTGGACCCAGGCATGGGCCCAGGCAGAAAATAACCAGAATGCAGGGGAAAGCGCATGTTATATTTTTAATCTCCTTTCACCTCTGTTTGCTTTCTAGTTTTGCATTACTAGCCAAATAAACACTTAAACGACCTCACTGTTCTTTGAAGCTCAATGCTACCAGCAACCAGGATTGTCAATTTCATTGAAAACATGTTAATGTATTTTTCCGTTTATCCTTGTTCTTACTCCGCACAGCTAAACTCTGATCCATCAGCCGCATTTCTAAAAATCTTTCCTGAAAACAGTGTGCGTATATGTGTGTGTGTGTGTGTGTGTGTGTGTAGTTGCCCGGGGATTAAACCAGTCAGATAATCCATCAACATATGGCTGCTAGTAAAAACATGACATTTAGACCGTGTGCACATACAGGGGCTAGATGTGCACACAGACACATATCATGAGCATGTTTTCTCTCTCTAACATGGAAAACATTATTCCATCCCCACTAATACTCAAAATACAACTATCAAAACAATTATGACATCATTACGTCACTCATAACAAATGTGGCGAGCAGGAAAATCATAATAAATATCAGATTAACAACAATTATCAAGAGACAGTAAGCACCTTAACAACAGATGATAGGCATAGTTGACCAGAATTTCTCAGCAGCCAAACATTTTTACCACCTGAGCTGCTTCTGATTGTCATAACACTGATCTGGGGTATTTTTATGACATAAAGTGACAGTGACATTGAGTTCTTACCTTTAGTAGCGAGCCTCAGACACTGTGTCTTGGTTTCCTGAAGAAAAAATGACACAACAAGAAGACAACAAGAGAACCTCAGTCCTGAGTTCACATACGGTACACTATAGAATATATTGTATGTTAGTACTGCATATGTGTGTTTACAGTATGAAGAAAATAATGGGTTTTCTCAGTTGCCTGCAGATACTTTGCAGTTTTCAGTGCTCTCAGAAGTCATAACTGCTTGCAGGTAGAAGCTGTGATGTAGTTAAAGTTTAACTAGTGTCTCGTTGAATGTGTACATATGAGCATATTCATAGCAGCCAGCAGGTGAGTGTGGTGAGTTCACTGTGTGTTTAGTGCATCATCACATGAATAAATATTTATTTACCCTCTCTGTGCTGCTAACAGCTTGAAGGTAGATGTTGTAGTTCTTTCTGGGGGCCAGTGGAGGATTCCAGAAACCCTGTGGATTAAAAGGGAGGGGTCATCAATTTCATATGAAGCTAAACATACGAAGATTCTCACCAATTTCAGTCAATACCTCTGCAAAGGTTATGTTTAATGTCCTGTTAATGTCCTATCTCAAATCTTGTCAAAGGAAAAGTTCAAGTTTTTTGAGAAATGTGCTTATTCGCTTTTTTAACAAGAGTTAGATGAGAAGATCAAAACTACTCTCATGACTGTATGTTAAATATGAACACACATCCAGCAGCTGACTGACTTCGAAAACTGAGGTAAAACCAGTGTCTCTGAAGCTCACAAATTAACATGTTAAATCTCATTTGTCTAACATGCACAAAATCCTAAACTAGAGCTACCGCCTCAGGGTCGTAGGCCTCTGCTGACAAGTCAAGTTGCACTAACAGTTTACATCCATGTCTGTTAAAACATGGATGCTTCACAGACATCTTCCCCCCGGCAGCACAGAAGATCTTTGCAATCAACACAGTTTCAGGTTGGACACCCAAGATTAGTGTCACCAGCTCAGTATTTGACCATGTCTCCCCGTCTGTTCCTGAGTTATGACATTGAATAATGTCCAGAAAAGTGTTTTTGCATAACATTATGATGTCACAGTGAAGTTGACCATTGACCTTTTGGATATAAAATGTCATCAATTCATCAATATGTCCTGTAAGACATTTGTGTGATATTTTGTCATAATTAGCATAGAAATTCTTGAGTTATGGCCCAAAACATGTTTTTTGTGAGGTCACAGTGACCTTGACCTTTGACCACTAAAGTCTAATGAGTACATCCTTGAATCCAAGCGAATGTTTGTGACAAATTTGAGGAAATACCCTCGAGGCCTTCTTGAGATATCGTGTTCACAAGAATGAGATGAAGGCAATGTCACAGTGACCTTGTACTTTGACTGCTAAAGTCTAATCAGTACATTCTTGAGTTTAAGTGGACGTTTGTGCCAAATTTAAAGAAATTACCTCAAAGTGTTCTTGGCATACCACGTTCACAAGAATGAGACAAACGTTCAGTCACAGTGACTTTGACCTTTGACTACTAAAGTCTAGTCAGTACATCCTTGAGTCCAAGTGGAGATTTGTGCCAAATTTTCAAAAATCCCTCAAGGAGTCCTTTAGATATCGTGTTCAAAAAAATGAGACAAACGCAAAGTCACAGTGACCTTGACCTTTAACTACTAAAGTCTAATCTATGCATCCTTAAGTCGAAGTGGACATTTGAGCCAAATTGAAGAAATTCCCTCAGTGTTCTTGGGATACCACATTCACAAGAATGAGACAAACGTTCAGACACAGTGACTTTGACCTTTGACTGCTAAAGTCTAGTCAGTACATCCTTGAGTCCAAGTGGAGATTTGTGCCAAATTTGAAGAAATTCCATCAAAGTGTTCTTGAGATACCACGTTCACAAGAATGAGATGGATGTAAGGTCACAGTGACCTTTGACCAACAAAATCTAATCAGCTCATCTTTGCATCAAAGTGGATACCAAATTTTAAAAAATCCCTCAAGGAGTCCTTCAGATATCGTGTTCACAAGGATGGGACAGATGGACTGACACCTGAAAACAATATGCCTCCAGCCACGGCTGTCATCGGCGCAGACGCAGAAAAAAAAGACAGTTTGCTGTTTGTTATCTAACTCTCTGCCAGAAAGCAAATAAGCACACTTCCAAGAATTCTGAACTATTCCTTTAACAGATTTCAATTCAATCTGATGGAAAGACAGGCCAAGGCCATGACAGAGATTTTGTGTTCTTCTCTTTGTGCAGATCCAGGATCCAGGAACTTGTACATTTTTATCATTTTCTCATGAACCACTGCACTCGCTCAAATGAAAAATTCTGGCACATGTCTTTAGCACATTAAAAATGTGCCAGATTTTAATGTAAACCAAGATCTTGATCCAAAAAATTTAAATTGCTAAACATTTGGATTTTGCAGCCTTGGTGGATGAACACTGTCTGCTCTCCGTGGGCTCTCTAGTACATGAAGATGTAAGTGTAACATGGTTAAGGATAAAACCCCCAAAAACTCAGACATATTTTCCCCCTTTTCTGTTACCTTTTTCTATTGCACATCCTTATTCTTCTGCATTTTAAGGTTACTCTAATTTCTACTGAATTTATCTTTTCAGTTCACCTGCACTGTGTACAGAATATGTTGCTTGGATAAAAATGCTTGCCTGATAAGTCTTGTTGTCTCCAACAGTGAAGGGGAGTGGCTCTGGCAGGTTGCTGGGGGACAGCTGGGCGGCATAATAATATGGAGATCCACCGCTAGACGCACTGTGGTAGGAAACTGGGACCTGGAAAAAAAGGATTTATTCACATTTAAGAAACATGTCTATAAATCTGTCTTACAAATAAAATGTAAGTCATTTAACCTGTTTTCTTTAAGCTAATGAAAGGTCAGTATTAAATGACTTGGGATCTAAGTGTCCGATGGTGTGTAGAACCAAATGGTGGCTATGAAACTCTTCTTAACATATGTTAGTAAACAACTACATGTGTATTTGATTAATAATCACCTCGTAACAGTCAGAGGAAGCTTGACGACGGGTCCGCTGAGGATTTACTTCCTCAACTACAATCTGGTATGCACTGTAGACAAGAAGACAATGCAAACATGTTATTAATTTTTTTAAATCACTATTACACTTACAATGAACAAAAACTTCTGGGATACCCAGACCCAGTAGATAGATATACTGGGTCTGGGTACGTGCTGTGTATGTATGCATGTACCTTATAGGTGCTCCCTTGGCCTGGGCAGGTTTGAGCAGGACAGTGATGGTTGTTGCAGTTTCATTCAGAAAGGCCTCTGACCCATCATACTCATCTATTGTTGGAGCTGAAGAAGGAGCATTAGTCTGTATTAGTGTCCATGTATCACGTACTCAAAACTGTGTGACAATAAAATATATCAAAACTTATTTTCTACCTGAAATATTAGTGGTCACATTGAGTGTCGTTGCAGGGCCGAATCCTTTGGAGGTGGATGCACGTATAGAGAGTTGATACGTGACACCTGGATGGAGCTGGGAGAACAGGTGATGGGTGGCGTTGGAGGGCAAAGACACTGTGAGTCCCGGTCGCTGGAGAGGCACCGAAGGGTCGAATGAACGCAACCCACTGTAGCTGATCTGAGGTAGGGCAGAGAGAAAAAAATGTGAACATACATCCCACTGAGTTGAGTGATTAGCTTAGCTCCTGCAACAATTACTGTTCCCACTGCTTCTGCTTATAGTACCTCATATTGTATGATGACACCGTTGGGTTCAGACGGTTCCTTCCAGTAAAGAAGAATTCTGTCTTCAAATGGAGTGGCTCTCAGTGACTGACTGGGAACTGAGCCTGGAACTGTTTACACACACAAACACACACACAGACACAGACAAAATTATAAAATGCTCATAAAATTTACAGTGAAATTCCGTCTTTCAAATAAAGAGGCTCCTGGTTAATACACACCAACAACTGGAAGAAATAGAGCAGTGACTTTACTGAACCATTTTTATTCAATACATGTACCCCAAAGTTGAGATTCAAGAGTTTTCTTAATTTATTGTAGCTTTTCCAAAAATACCATCAACAACGGCATGACATGCCTTGTTTTTCATAACATCCTGAAATATTTTTGCGGTTTTATATTCATACTTCTACTTCCCAAAAGTGGCCTGTTGCGTCACAGTACCGGAAAATATTAACTTTTTACTCTAACTCTTATTTCAAAAGAGAACATAGTAGTACACACAATGAATACATATAAGTAAGTTGTTGTTGTTTTTTTTAAGATTTTCATTTATTTTTTTTATCATTTAACCTTTACTAAACCAGAGGTCAAAGACTCGTTGAGGTTGAAAATCTTTTTTTAAAGAGTGTTTTTGCCAAAACAGGCAAGAAACATTTTAATCGACTGTGTTGATATATACTGAGTTGTGGTGGTCCCAGGATCGATCCCTGGGGCACACCCTTGGATACATTAAAGAAGCTAGTGATACCATCTGCCTGCATGCACTGCAATCTGTACATACACACATAAATAAAATAAACACATAGATTGCAAAAATTAAGTGTGCTTTGTGTATCTCACCATCTTCATCAGTTTGTATGATAGTCTCGTCACTTTCTTTCCGCCCCTCTGGATTGGTCAGAATCATCTTCAGACTGACGTTGGTGTAGGGTGGCAGGTTTGCCACAACATGGCGTGGTGCTGAGATGGAAATAAGAAGGAAAAACAGCTTAGCTTTATTGTAAAACAATAATGTAGAACATCTTACAATGCAAACAGTTATTATTCTTTATATTATTTAATAGTTTGTTTGGTCTATAAAACATCCTGTTAAATGTTCAAACCCTTTCACACATGTAGCATACAACAGGAGATTGTCAATGTCAGACACGTTCTCACCTGATAGAAATACTACGTTTGATTTAGGCAAGGGGTGGTGTCTAAGTAGAGCATGTAGGATGCAGGACATGACTCACAAAGTATGCTGTAAAAATCAGTGTTTTGTTTATGAAGTCTGTTCATAATTTGGTCATAAACAGCCGTCATTAAGAGTGATGGTCCTTAATGACAGAAGTTCTTTTGATCTCATCATCTCTGCAATTAGACATTTTCATTAGTATGGTGTGTTGGTGTTTGTATTGTTACGGTTTTGCGCCAATTACATCATAGAAATGTCATCAACACACCCACTTACATGCTCAGTTACACAGACCTTGTATTGGGGAGCTAGCAGGGAAAAGTCCGTTTAATGTCTGGGCCAACCAGTTCGGACATTTGTGTTCTAACATTCAGCTCCTCCAGGTTATGTCTAGATATGTTCAGGGTTGCAGTGCATGTGTGAAAGGGGCTTCTGTGAAATGAAAATGTTGATGGTACTACTGCTAATCCCACTGAGAATCAACATCCCACCGCAGACATAGTTACACTCTCACTGGACTACTCTATGATGACAACTATCCTCTTCTTATACAGTATTTCAGCACCTACATGAGTTGCTCTCAGTTTGCTTCATTTGTATTGGTATTTTATTAACTGGTTGTGAAAAAGCAGCTCACTTTAAGAAACATACTCATAATGCAGCCTTAACACATTAAATATTACATTCTTTTATAGCACCATCTGTAATGTAAAACAGTAAAACAGCAGTAAAAGTAATGGTAACAATGCCTGTACTTTATGGTTGACTGAATATTACCTTTAGGGTCCATGTCCAAGCAGTCAGCTTTGCTGCGGTTGTTGGCAGTCATATAATGGTAGCAGATGGTGACATTGAAGGTGTGACAGCGAGTGATGTTGTAGCCCAACGACTCCCAATCCACCGCTATCAGACGAGACCTGGTCTCAGCAATTTTTAGCCTCTTAGGAGTCCGCATAGGTTCTGCAGAGAAACAGAGGAGAACACAGGGAAAGAATATCATGAGTTTTCTCAGTAACCCAACAGATTATCACCATATGACCTGGGTTAGCCTCTAGCATCATAAATACACTGTCAGGGAAGAATCATCTCTTTGATGACTTACAGTAAACTGTGAAAAAACTTTAGGTAACTTCAAAAATATTTATTTTAATCATGCTGCAATGTGTGTGCAAGAGGCAAATGCACTTTGTGCTGCCAAAAAAAAGAGCAGGATTGCTGAGTCAACACTTTCCCTAAGATAAAACAAGGGGGGTTTACGAACATCTATTCCTGCCCCTTGCTGCCATTCAACCATTTCTCAAATGCAATAACTTCTAAAAGGCACGTCTTTGGTTTCCATCTTTTATGTGAATTCAGAACTGTTATTGTCAATATAATCTACCTTCTCTCCAGCCTGCCCAGGGCTTTAATTACCTTAACTGGCTCATTTAACTGGATCAATAACCCCCCGCCGAACCCACCCACCTCCACACAGACACACTCGCACATTCACAAGCGAGACCGCAAAACACAAAACCAAACCTTTCCTCGTCTGCTTCCTGCCTGCTCATATCAGTCCAGTTTTTTTCAGGCACTACAGTCTCATGAATGTTAAATTAACTCATGCTTCTCCAACCATTCAACAGTTAAGCAGGAGGTCTACCTGGAGGAGCTGCCATTTTCTGTAGGACAGATATCACATTTAGCAGCTACAAGTTGTTCTATATTACTAAGGAATGAAAATAAAGCAAAATATGTGTAGTTTTCTGTCTTTTTTTGGGACACTGAATGAGGACTGAATATAAATAAGAGCTGCCTGTGAGTTCATTTCAATCTGAATTTTTTCAGTTTCCACTGTAAAAAGTTGTGGATGGTACCAACAGAACTGTTCCTTATTGTCCCCATTTTTGGTCACCACTCTGTTGGGGTACCTAGCACACTGATCAGGTACTAAAAGCTGGAGCTAGAAACACGACAGTCCATTGAGTGGTCAATAGAGAATGATCACTCTTGCTCAGGGCTGAGTTGTGGCTGATTTTGAGGGTACCATAAACTTTTGTTTGCTTAAGAGCTTATCCAAACATCCAATGGAAAAATCGAATTGTTTTTTTTGTCGAGGGAACCAGGGTGATGCTAACTTCTGGGCTGGCGTCATCTCTGCAGCACTCTTCATACAATCAGATAAAAGTCAGATAAATGTAGTAAAGTTCCAAGTACAACATTTCCCTCTGAGATCTGGTGGAGTAGAAGTATAAAACATAAAGTGACAAATTAAAATGCTTGAGTGCCTCAACTTCTTACAGTACTTGAGTAAATGTATTTAGTTGCACTCCACAACTGTAGTGAGGAAACCATGAGCCAAGTTGAAGAGAAGTTTTTTCAGTTAACAGATGATTTGATATTTTTGAAAGCTGAAAGCATAATAGGTTATCATGAAAAAAAGTCATCTGTTTGAACAGGCTCAATGCAGGCAAAGACAAATATGCTGTGATTAACTCTGATGCTGATCTTGCAGATTGGCTCTGGACATCCCCAGACGAAAGTGGAATCTATGCCGGACAGCCAGAACAAATTTAATTAAAAGTTTTGTTTACTGTTCCTTGTCATAAACTGACTTCATTCCCAGTGATAGTTGTTCCATCACCTGTTGATCCTTTCTCCTCTCACTCTGTAACCCACCTGCTTCCTTATGTCCTTCCAGGAGTTTTTAATAAAAACAGCTCACCTTAAATAGAGACGCAAGTCTCTCCCCAACCCCTCCTTGTCTCGCTCTCTGTTTTTCTCTGGGTCTTCCTCCCTCAGAGGAGACAACACAAGGACACAAACTTGTCGCTTCTTCTGACAACCCATTATCTGCCTGTCACTCACACGCACACACGCACGCATGCACGCACACACACACACTCACACTAGATTATTACCCAAATACACACACACATGCGCTTCAGGTTGTGACAGAATCAAGATTAAATCTAGGCAGAGCACGTATAGATGTGTGTTTATGTGTGTGTGCTCGTCTCAATAAAACTCATAATAAGAATGCATCGTCAAGGACAAACACAACTCTTGTGCACACAGACACACACACACACACACACAGTGGGCTATAAGCGAAATACAAACATGTTGAGGTTTGCTAAGTCATTTAGATGTAAATAGCTCACTAATAAAGAGACATACAGACATGTGAGAGAAAATGAGAAAAACAGAAAAAAAAGACAGAGAGGAAGAGAGGTTGTGAAGACACCCGGGCAGGTAATTGTCTGCTGAGCAAATATTATCGCTCAAGTGTGTGTGTATGTGTGTGTGTTTGTGTGTGTGTTAATAGCTGAGGGGTCAGAGCATTTCATTTTTGCTTCAACCTGTTATTGGATGGTTGACATTTAAATAGAGCGAGAGGAAGACCTATTGCTTTCTCTGCCTGTCTCTCCCTCTATTTCTGTCTCTTCCTCACTTGTCTCGGCCTCTTCCTCCCTCTCTGTCTGTCTCCCTGTTTAAATCAATACCTGTGATCCTCACCATAAACCTGGCTATTAGGACCACACACACTCGCAGAGTTAGGGCAGTGTAATAAATTGTATTGATTCCAGGGTCTCCTGATGCTAACGCTGCCTCACAGTGAGACAGTCTTCAACATGGAATTAAAACAAAATATATGACTAGCAGCCTGTCTCACTCACACACACACACACACACACACACCTGCATTTTAAAACCTCATTCCCTTTCTGACCCACAATGCACCGCTGCTTATCTCCGTCTATTTACTGTATTTAGTGAAAGAGGGTAGAGAGCAAGGTGAGGGGAGAAAGAAAGAAAGCAAAAGAGAGGAGGGCAAAGAGAGTAGCACAGAAAATGAGTAAAGAGAGGTGTGAAAACAAAGCAATGCGTGGAAAAATGAAACTGGGGCTGGAGGGAGCGAGGGACAGATACAGGAGGCAGAGAGAGAAAGATGAGGGAGGGAAAGAAAGAGACAGAGAGGAGGAACAGGGAGAGACGATAACTAGTTTGGAACGTGGCCAGAGTCAAGCGGGACCAGGTCCAGCGGTAAACCACAGAGGCTGCCTTGTCCCTTTCCCCTCCTCCGGTAGACGTACAAACGGCTGGATTCATGTTGGAACTAAAAGGCTTTGTTCTCCACAGATGGAGCTTTGAAAACAACAACAATACCAATAAACACCAACAATAACACCAAGGACGGCAAGCTTCATATCAGCTGAATCCAGAGGTTGGAATTAAAGAACGGAAAACAAAAGGAAAGGAAATGAAACTAAATGAAATAGAACTACGCTAAGGGCAGAAAAAAAAACCTGTCCCTCAACATGAAGCATTAGGAAGAGCCAAGAAATATACAGTAAAAAGACCACAGAGCAGGAAAAAGCAGCTTAAAAAAAGCAGAGAAGAAAAGAGGTAAGGAAAAGGAGAGAGGAAAGGAGGGGGAAAACAGAAAAGGTTGACAGGAGATGCAGCTAAATCCAAGTTAATCTGTCCAATTAGTTCCTGGTAATCCTTCCACTGTCATGAGGAAGACAAATGAAACTCCAGTTATTCATTCTGTCTCTAATTCTCATTTTCTCTCTGCATGCCTCTGTCTCTCTCCGGGCCAGTTTTAAGCACATGAAAGGTGCACATTTGCACTGCAGCATTCATTCAGTTTGCACTTGTAGGCTACGTGAAATTTGATTCTGAGTCTATGAAATTAGCTACCAGGACTTCCTGAGTTTCAAAAAAATTGTGTAGCTATCGTTAAGTGGTGGGATTTGTCAAAAATCAACAAGCTCAGCAAAAGAAATGAATGAAGTAACAACATTCAAATACATTTATAGTCCAAAAAAACTGGTTGGTAAAAACAACAAGATGAGAGTCATTCAACAAACCCCTAAGGATATGAGAAAGAAATGCAAACAAGATGCACAAAACCACATTTAAAGACTCCCGTCATCACAGGCCTTCACCCACCAGGGGCGTTTTTTTCCCCTGCAGTTCATTTGCAGGTCAATATTTTTTTTTGGAAACTGTTGTTTTTTCCACGAGTGGCTACTTGGGGGCGGCTGTGGCTCAGAGGTAGAACGGGTCGTCCACCAATCGAAAGATCAGCGGTTCGATCCCAGGCTCCTCCAGGCTGCATGTCGAAGTATCCTTGAGCAAGATACTGAACCCCAAATTGCGGTGTGTGAGTGTGTTAAAAAACTGAGTAGCAGGTGGCACCTTGTATGGTAGCCTCGGCCACCAGTGTATGAATGTGTGTGTGAATGGGTGAACGTGACTCGTAGTGTAAAAAGCGCTTTGAGTGGTCACTAGATGACTAGAAAGGCGCTATACAAATGCAGGTCCATTTAGTATTACTTTTACAAAGAACATAAATATAATAATGCGAAAAAGCAACATCAATTTTTTACCGATTCAGGTCAAATTATCGGGCTTTCGCACCGCAAATAAAGACACCAACCATCATTGTGTGCCTATTTATGTGACTAAATGGTTAAAGACAACCTACCTCCATTCAAAATAAAATGATAAAAAACAAACTTCTCAGAAAAGTCTTTGGCAATAAAAGGTTTCTCAATATCTTCATTTAAAATATAATCTTTTCCAATGTGCAAATAAGCTGCTTCTGGTTTCTTACCACTCCTGCACAGTTCCTGCCATGTTCAATTTCATATACTTGATTTTATCACATCGTGTGTGCTAATAAAATTTAAATTCAAATTCAAGTTTATGAGGATTATAAAACAACGACATGGTGGCACCATAGTCCAAACCAAGCCAACAAACTTTATTACTCCTTTCAACCTTGACAAAGGCAGGGTATGCCAAATCCACTCCTTTCATTCTTACCTTTCACAATAAAAGTTCTAGACGTATATACGCTGCGTAACTGTTTACCAGAGGGAACTCGAGTTCACGGAGAGCTATTTGCTAAAAATAAACTCAATAAAATACAGTAGCTTAAGCTATACAACAACATACCTCAGACAGAC